TGAAGAAAGGGCACTAAGCCACTAAATAGAGCAAAATGTGATCCTTCCTTATTGGAGGTTCTTTAATCAGCAGACTTATCACTTCAAAGTGACATCTTTACTCATAAGTAATCTTTATTCATCAGTAATCTCCAGATTTGTTATTCTTAGAAAAATTTCTAATCCCTTAGAAAATTATTGATTTTATGGATTTCTCTATTTTGCCAAAACAAACAGTGCCATCCCCAGAATAGGTTAAATGTATACACAGGATCTTTGTGTGGATGGATGCTTCTGCCTGTTAAGGCAGCTGAGCAGTATCTTCTCATATATCAGAAATAGCATCTCCTCCAGCAGAGCAGGCCACATTCCCCACAGGAAACAGATTATTAACACCAGGCCCTACAGTATAATTTTCCCTGCCTAAATTCCCTAGTTAGGAAAAATACAGTTCTGTGGACAGTGGGTATAAGATGTCCCAGTTGGAGGCATTTTTCTAACCAGCAAACACCTGCCCAACAGGCTGCCCTGATTTCTTTTAATGACAATATCAGAGTACCAGACATCTTTGTAGGCTAATAGTTATGGTCCCTCAGTATGTTTTCTGTAAAACAAATTTAAATATTTCTCCATAAAACCCTGGTCAGAGCTTGCTTTGATGTCATATGAATCCTTCCCAATTCAGTATGTTTTCTTGAAAAGCGAAAGATACTCTAGCATTCAGCAACCTACAGCTGTCTTGTTTAACAGTTAAAGCCATCTACAGCGATTAGATAACCATCAATGACATAGTTGGGGGATTCATGAACTGGGTTAAGAAGATAGGACTTTATGACCTCAATGGATCCTTTAAGCTTCAAAATTCCTTAACTTCTCAACTCTGTTGTAACTACTTTCATTTCACATGTATGACTGTAATACTATCAAGTCTTCCCTGAAGTTCATTAAAGGTGAAGTTTTAGATGAGTTAGACATTAAACAACTAAATAATTATGATTCTTAACTAGCTTAGACAAAAAAAAAGTATTCATTTAATGCTTCTATTTACTTTTTTTAAAAAAATTTTTTTAGTTGTTGATGGACCCTTTATTTATTTACATGTGGTGCTGAGAATTGAACCCAGTGCCTCCTCACAACATGCCAGGCAAGTGAGCTACCGCTGAGCCACGGCCCCAGCCCATTCTGTTATTTTTTAAGGCACTTATTTTACCATTAACAGAAGAACCAATATCTATTTCCTTCTTAGCTTTAAAAATTCATTTACAAAAACTTTCAAACTTTGGACTTTGGGGTTTTACAAAATATTTCCCTTGAATGATTTTGTTTTCCATCTCCTTAAAATTCTAATTTTATCATTATTTCTTTTCCTTTTATTTCTTTTTTTTAAAAAGAGAGAGAGAGAATTTTTTAATATTTTTCAGTGGATACAACATCATTTTTTATTTTTATGTGGTGCTAAAGATCAAAGCCAGCGCCCCGCGCATGTCAGGCAAGCGTGTTACCGCTTGAGCCACATCCCCAGCCCTCCCTTTATTTCTTTAGGTTCATTTGTAGTCCTGTTATTTTCTAAGGTTGAATAAAAATGTCTTTTCTACCCTTTCCTCCAGCTGCATTTAAAATAACATGTCTATACAATAATCCTTTTTCTCATACTACAAGTTTTCACATATAATACGTTCATTGTTCAATTATAAATATAAATTTCATTGATTTATGATCTTAATGGTACATGGACATTTATACATACTCATATTTTTTTTCTCATTTCTAGCATTTTTGAAGCCAGTTATTTTTCAGGGATCAGTTTTTTTAGGACTAGGAGGATTGATAAGTATATTTTAGTTTTGTATTCTTTTTGTTTTTAATTTTTTATACATTTATTTTTATGTGGTGCAGAGGATCAAACCCAGCACCTCACACATGCTAGGTGAGCGCTCTACCACTGAGCCACAACTCCAGCCTGTTTTTAATTTTTAATTTTTACTTTATATATATTTTTTCTCTTACCTGTTTCCCTTATTCTTCTTCTTTTCTTCCACTAACAGCCAATCTATATTGGCACCAAAACAGTCATGAAAACCAAAATAGAAGACACAGAGGTAAACCCACATAAATACAGTTATCTCATACTAGACAAAGGCACCATACCATAAACATACATTGGAGAAAAGATAGCCTCTTTAACAAATGGTGCTGGGAAAACTGGAAATCCACATATAACAAAATGAAATTAGACCCTTATCTCTCACCCTGCACAAAACTTAACTCAAAGTAGATCAAGGACCTAGGCATTAGACCAGAGACCCTGCACATAATAGAAGAAAAAGTCGGCCCATTACATCAGCTCAGGAACCGACTTCCTCAACAAGACTCCTAAAGCACAACAAGTAAAATCAAGAATCAATATATGGGATAATATCAAACTACAAAGCTTCTTCATAGCAAAGGAAACAATCAAGAATGTAAGCAGAGAGCCTACAGAATGGGAGAAAATCTTTGTCACCTACACTTCAAATAGAGCATTAATTTCCAGGATATATAAAGAACTCAGAAAACTTAATATCAAAAAAAAAAAAAAACAGCCCAATCAATAAATGGGCAAAGAAACTGAACAGACATTTCATAGAAGAAATACAATCGGTCAACAAATATAAGAAAAAACGTTCAACATCTCAACATCACAGGCAATTAGAGAAATGCAAATTAAAACTACACTGAGATTTCATCTGACTCCAGTCAGAATGGCAAATATCAACAATACAAGTAACAGGGTTGGGGATATAGCTCAGTTGGTAAGAGTGCTTGCCTCGCATGCACAAGACCCTGGGTTCAATCCCCAGCACCACCAAAAAAAAAAAAAAAGAGAGAGAGAATATAAGTAACAATAAATGTTGGCAAGGATGTTGGGGAAAAGGCACACTCATACATTGCTGGTGGGACTGCAAATTGTGCAATCACTTCAGAAAGCAGTATGGAGATTTCTCAGAAAACTTGGAATAAAACCACCATTTGGCCCAGTTATCCCACTCCTTAGCATATACCCAAAGGACTTAAAATCAGAGTCCTCTAGTGATACGTTCATATCAATGTTCATAGCAACCCAATTCATAATAGCTAAGCTATGGAACCAAACTGGTACCCTTCACCAAATTAATGGATAAAGAAAACAAGGTACATATACGCAATGGAATATTACTCAGCCATAAAGAATGAAAGTATGGCATTTGTTGGAAAATGGATGGAACTGGAAACTATCATGTTAAATGAAATAAGCCCAATCCCAAGAAATCCAAAGGCCGAATGTTCTCTCTGATATGCAGATACTGACTCACAAATGGGCAGGGGGAAGTGAGGAGTGGAGGCTCATTGGTTTGGATGGAGGGGAGTGGGGAGAAGAGAAAGAAAATTGGAAATGAGAAAGACAGTAAATTCAGGCATAACTTTCCTATGTTCATATATGAAACTATAAAGTTACCAGTGTAACTATAAAGTTACCAGTGTAACTACACACGTACATCCACAAAAATGGTTATACTCCATGTATGTATGTCAAAGTACATTCTACTGTCATGTATAACTAAAAGGAACACATAAATTTTTAAAAAAATTTTTTTAAATAAAAATATAAACAAATGTGTGCTTTGGTCTGAATGTTGGGAACCCCCTCAAAACTCCTATTTGAGACTTAATCTCCAATGTGGTTAAGAGGTAGGGTTTTATAAGTTGATTAGTGCATAAGGGCTGTACCCTTCTCAATGGATTAGTGGCCTTATAAAAAGAGGCCTGAGAGAGCTGGATAGCCCCTTGCCTCATCAGGACACAGCAAAAAGGTGTATCATCTAGCGTCTAAACTCCCCAAACTCTAATAAATACATTTCTGTTGTTTATTATATATAGTCTACTGTACTTTGTTAAAACAGACCAAACAAAAACAAAGGATTAAACATTTTTTCAACCATCCATTTGAATATCTAGTAATTTACTAATAGCTTAAATATACACAAAAATGATTTCTTTTAAATAGCAAGCTAAATGGGTATGATGATATATCTGTTCATCATTTATCCTTAAATACAGAGGCACTTTAGCATTTAACCTGTACTTGATTTAGACATTAAGAACCACTTAGGGCTAAAATACCATCTTTTCACTAAGACAAAATACAAGAGCATTCTTAACGAACAGAAGTTGAAGGTACAAGCAAAAAAGCAGCTGTTTTTATTACAACATCTTTCCTCAGTCTAAAAAAACACTGAAGCATACTTGTCTTACATAAATGAATAACTATTTTTGGCATGATGAAAATGCTCTAAAATTGATTGTGTTAATGGTTATAGAATTCCATGAAAATATTTAAAATTACTGAATTGTATAATTCAAATGAGTTAATTGTATGATATGTGAAATATATCAACAAAGTTATTTTTGAAATGAGTAATATTTTACTCTACTAGCAGAAGATTTTAAATGCTCTCATTTTGTTTTGTGTGTGTATAGAGAAATATTATTGAGTCCTTAAAAAATAATGAAGTCCTATCATTTATAGCAACATGGATGAAACTGGAGGACATTTTAAGCAAAATAAAGCAGGCAAGATGGACAAATACCACACATTCTTACTCACATGTGGAAACCTAAAGAGTAGTCACTAGTAGTTAGGAAGTTAGGAAGAGGGGATGGAGGGAGATTGGATAATAGTCATCAAAATGCAGTTAAATAGGAAGAACACATTCCAGTGTTCCACAGCACAGTTGAGTGCCTGTAGTTTACAACCATTTACTATATATTTTATTAAGAACTAAAAGAGAGTTCAAAGTGTCCCAACACAAATCATAAATTTTAAGGGGATGAAAATGCTAATTACCTTAATTTGATTATTACATATTATATTCATGTATCAAATTATCACACTGTACCCCATAAATACACACAATTACTAAGTGTAAGTCAAAATATCTTTTAAGTGTTCTAATGTTACAACAGGATTCTTAGGCTTTACTAGATTTCAAGATAACCAGAAACACAGAGAAAAGTATATTTTATTGGCATTTTGGTCTAGCACAGTTCAATTCAAATAAAATGGAACTTACTTAAGCAAACTGAATATAACAATTATAAGTTTTCTGTTTTACCATCATATGATTGTGTTCATGCAAGTAACAATCATCAGAACTGTCTTTCTAAGCATATATCAGCGCACCATCTTTCATTTGCAGTACTTGATATGTAAATTTCATTGTCAAAACATATCTGCTTTAGCAATGTAAACATCTGCTATAAGTAAACTTTAAAAGGTAAAAGCGAACGTTACTGATGAATAAATCAAAACAGAACTAAGTATCATCAGGTGACATAATTAAACATTATATAATACTGTTTCAATAAGAGCCACAACTTAATAAAGTTCACACAAAGGAAGCAGAAATAAGAAATGTAAACTCCCAAAATAGTGTTAAAATACTGAAGGATATAATGTAAAATTTACCACAGAAAAAGAAGGGAAAACAACAAAATGAGTAGTGAAAACCAAATTTGGTTTAGTAGTTACAATAGTCATTTTACTGCAAAGGCTTTCTTTATGTACTCTAACCAAATGCTTTATTTTCTGTATCCTTTTTAAAAAGAAATTATTGTGGTTAGTCACATAAGTTAGGTACTTTGTAGGAATTTCACATTTATTGTCATTTGTGGGAATGTTACCCCCACCAAAATTTTTCATCTCTAAATAATTTTTCCAAATAATCAAAAACATTAAATTATCTTCATGAAAATTGCCATTATAAAGTCAGATAATTTCTAAATAAGTCTGCGTTACCAGAAAAACTACAGGAAAAAGTGTATGCGTAAGTGCTGAAAATCACTAAAAAAAAAATTCAACAAATAAGAAAAAATGTTCACATTTATCATAACTATTGATTTGTTCCTTTCTGGCTAAAATTAAATAAGTTTTTAAAAGGTCAGTGAGGATATTCAGTGCCACTTTGGATTTGTCTGCAATATACAAATAAGTTATATCTGTTGTACAAGGCAGACTCTATTTTTACTCTTAAACATAATTAAGTTATAAAGACTTTGAAATTCTAAAACCAGTTATAATACTGTGGCAAGCAAAACAAATTTGTTCTCAATGCTCTCATTATATTCCAGCTTTATCTACAAACGTGAACATTTTTATGTTTTCTCAAACCATACTGATACAAAAAAAAAAGTTTAGAGAGATCTGTTGGTTTCCACAGACAAACTGAAAAAGGGAAAAAAATGAAACTGAAATATTTCATCTTCTTAAGTGTCTTTAACATGTTTCATATGTCAAGCAGCACTTGACACAGCAAGTTTCTTCAAGTGATCCATAAACACTTGTAAACTAACATCATCTGTGAGGATGGGTGCTCCAGACTCCTAGAGGAAAAGAGAAGTATTCGCTATAATTAAAACACAGGGTGATACCTTGGACTGTATAAGAAAATGTTTAAAATAGACAAGGGAATCATTTTAAGCAGAAGAATGCCTATGCTCCTGGTTTCTGAGAGGGAAATTCTTATCTAAGTCCTCAAAATTTCCTAATTGTCTTTGTGATGGGCTATTCCCATCACATCTGAGTTTATGCTAGAAAATGAGAGGTCTCAGGATGGAGACTGGTTATCAAGAGGACAGAGAGGTGATTAGAGGATTAGGGCTTTAAAACAGCCTGACCTCCAGAACCCCTATCCCTGGCATTTTAACAGAAACACTAGTTAAAAGGAAGCAAATTCACGGCATCATTTTTAAAATAAACTATGCTTACTAAGTTTTCAAGTCATTGAATTGATTTCTGTAAGTTTCAAGAAATTAACCAGAATTACCAAAATTCTCTTATTTATTTATTTGTTTATTTATTTATTTATTTTTGGTATTTGTTTATTTTTATGTGGTGCTGAGGATCGAACTCAGTGCCTCACACGTGCAAGGCAAGCGCTCTGCCACTGAGCCACAACCCCAGCCCCCAAAATTCTTAATATCTATTTTAACAAAAACTGTACTGACAAAATGACCTTGAAAACCTAATCCATTAACAATGAAATTTTACTGTAAGAGAAAGTATTTGTGGATTTTATATCTGAATTTTTAGAAATATTCTTCTCATACTCAAATTCCATTTATTAATAAATGGAAAGAGTCTAACACAAAGTAATTTCAGAGGAGATCAGCAAGATAGTGGCAAATGTTAGATATGAATTTATAGCTCCTGTGGGTCTAGCCTGGCAAAGCCGCAGACATGTTATTACCTCTTCTGAATAAGTCATGTTAATTTATAAGAACTTGAGAAACTTGGCAATGAAGGGAGGGATTAAAGTGCTGAGCTTATGGGCACAGAACTTGGAGCCAGGATGCCTGAGCTGAAATTCTGGTTCTGCCACTTAGTATTCATGTGACTTTGAGGAGGTGATTTGACCTGTCTTAGTTTCCACATTTATCAAATAAGGATAACAGGGTCTATCTCAAGCAGCTCTTGAAAAGATTCAATGAGTGAAGTAGTATAAAGCAAACAGAAAAATCTGTGCCATACAATATACAAAAGTGTTTTAGCTATTTTCACCATTACTTCATTTGAAAAAGCTATTACTTCGTATCCACAAAAACATTTTTCCTTCTTCTACATTCAGAGTTATCAGAAGCCCCTAAAATGTGACCCAAACTAATAATCACCTGGTGGCTCTTGCTTGTTCTCTTCCTATGATTTTTTTTTAAATGTTTTTCACCTCAATTCACCCAATTCTAGATCTATTTCTTCCATTCAAGATAAAAGATACAGATTGCCTAATTTATACACTGCAGAGATCCTATTTGAAATTATAAAAACTAAGGCTAAATTCAAATTATATCAAAAATCAGTAGTTAGCTCATTTTTCAAATGGGTCTTTTTTCCTCTTTAAAATTACAAAAAGATCCAAGCTTTACAACATTTAGCATATGAAGCATTACACCAATAGAGGTCCCGAATGCCACAGAAAGCAGTATTGCAGTGGTGCCCTCTTCAGGACATTCACATATAATACTTATCACTAGGTTCTCGATTTCTGACAAAAAGAAAACTATGATATTTCAATTTCCTCTTCTGAAAAGTTTTTCATAATTCAAACGGGGTAAAGGAGATGAAAACCTAAAGCACTGTGACTAAAACATACTACTGCTCAACTTATGATTATTAAAATACTAACAATTTCTCTTATAAAAATTATAGGTCAAGGAAGACGTGAAGGCTCTTGTTTATGCTTCTAAATGCCCTACTTTCAGATAGCATTAATTAAACTTAAAAGTTGAAATTAAGCTTTCTTTCCTATGTTAAATATCTTTAGGGAAAGACTTTTTCCCAATGATTAACACTGAAAACTAATAGCTAATATTTATAGAGTACAGCAAGCAAGAGCTATTATTAAAACTCTGTAGACAAGAAATTGCAGACAAAGAAAACTTGGGCAACTGGCAAAATCTACATTCTCATTACGATTTCAGAATGATGCTTTTCCATGTTTAATTGGACAAGTTCTTTCCTTTATTAAGAGTTTACCAAAACAGCGCATGCATGTAATCCCAGCAACTCTGGATTTCACTTAGGGATCATGAATTCAAAGCCAGCCTCAGCAACTTCACGAGGCCCTAAGCAACTTAGCAAGACCCTGGCTCAAGAGAAAAAATAAAAAGGGCTGGGGATGTAGCTCAGTGGTTAAGAACCCCTAGGTTCAATCTCTAGTACAAAAAAAAAAAAGTCTACCAAAAGTATATCTCCATGTTGTAATTTAACTCAGAAAAAAATAGAAATGAGAAGTCATCATTTTCATGAATTATTTAGTTCCATGGACTAAACCATACTTTTGTATGAAAAATCCAGCTATATAGAGTATATTTTATTTGGTCTGCAAAGTGTAGACTCCCACTTTTTTTTTAACTGAATTATGTGAATGATAATAAGGATGGGGGAAAGCAACTATCTCCTTTAAAGAAAAAATGTGTATTCTTTCCACAAACCTTAGTTTGCCATAGACCACCCCACTCCTAAGTATTGCTTCTTAACACTGAGCATCAGGGTTTTTTTTTTTTTTTTTTTACATCCAGCCACTTTGTTACTCACCTGGCTCTTGTGGACATTAGATGTGCGAACCCTCACAAATACTGTTTTAAAGTTTCCTTAACCTCTCTTTCTCCATACTGATCAACTGTTATTTCCTTGGACTTTATTTATTGGTGCTACTTTTCCGTCCTCTTGGAATTTTCTTCTTTGGACTATATCTGAATTCCCCTTATGAAACTCAGAACTAAAACCAAAACTCAGTTGCCAGAGTTAAGTATAATGGAAAAGCTGATTCGTGGCATACTGTGTACTCCAAATTTCTATACCATATTATTACATCTGGCTTTTTGTTCCCCCAGCAAAGAAGCAGAGTGAAGTGATACTGAGGTTATATACGTATATGCATTATTTGGGCATAAATTTTTTTTTTCATATGTGATCCGACCCTTTCCATACTTCCAAGATTATGGTCCTTCGCCTGTTATACAAATCTCCCCCAAATTTCAAGACCTTTAGACCTTAAATTTAACTTATTCATCTATACTACAAAATCTCATTAACTGCTAACCATCTCCTCAGATCTCCCACACTCCCATCTCTACTCTTCTGTACAAATCTATCATATTCAATATGTACTATGTTTAAGGTACCAGGGGAAGTTAAAAATGAAAATAACAGAATTGTTGCCCTTGAGTAATTTATACTCTACCATGTTTTGAAATAAGTGCAATAGGAAACAAATGGGAAAAAGGGATGATGGGGCAAGGATATTACACAAATCCAGTTATACAATCATATAAAAGGTTTCATGGAGTGAACTATGAACTGAGCTTGGAGGAATGAATGTGATGTGTCTAAATGGTGATGAGGACAAAAATCACAAAGAGATAAGAACATGTTCATTATATTCAAAGTAGAGTCAAAATTCAGGCATAATGCTGGCACACCTATAATACAACTCAGAACTAAGGCAGGAGGATTACAAATTCAAGCCAGCCTTGGCAAGTTAGTAAGACCCTGTTCTCTAAATAAAAAATTAAAAGCGCTGGGGATGTAGCTTGTAAAACACCACTGAGTATAATCCCCAGTACTGCCAAAAAAAAAAAAAAAAAGTAGAAGTCTGGCTAACAGACCTCAGTGGTGGTGGCTAACAGTGGAAAAAGATAATGTGGGTAATACCAGAAAGGCTCTCAGTGACAATACAAAGGGTTCTTATGTAATTTAATATGGAATTATTGAGAATTTTAGAGCTAATGTTCAGAACTACTACATTAAGGAGACTAACTGGCCACTGACAAAATGGAGGAAAAAAGCTGAAGCACTAAAACCAGTTAGTAGGGAATTCCAACAGTCCATGTGAAAAGTAACCACTACCTGACTTTGGATAATGATATGGAGATTGAAAATGGATAGAAGAAATAGGGCAAAGCCAGGCCAGGTGGCACACACTTATAATCCTAGTGATTAGGGGCAGAAAGGATAAATGACTAAAGTTTGAAGCCTTGGGAATTCAGGGAATAGTGAGGCCTTCTGTTAAAAACAGGAAATCAGGAAGAACAAGATAGTTTAAAAAGAAAGGTAAAGTTGGGACATTCTGCTTGTGAAATATCTACAGGAAATTCAAGTAAGCAGTTCAAAAAATTAAAGTCTACAGCTCAGTGTGAAGCTAAACAAAAGATGGAAATTGGCAAGTAAGCCTTCACGTAAAAGCTGAGAGTAGAAAATGAGACAAATGATTGCTTCCACTGTAAGAGTGCAAGCAATCACCAAAAGAAACAGTGAACGTAAAGAAATCAAGGAAAAATTTTTGAGACAACTCTATACTCAAAGGGCCCTAACCCAATTATGGCATCATTTGTCTTCTACCCAGATGGGACCCTATTGTTACTCAATTAACATTGCTCTAAAAATTCTACCTCCTTTTCTCTTCTTCATCCTCAAACACCCAAAATCTTTCATCTTTAATACACTGCCTAAACTACAAAGTATGGTTAAAGAACATGATGGGAGCTTGTTAGAAATTATTAGTAAATAAAATGGGCCCTCGCCACTGCTGTGAAAGACCTTTTTTATCCTGTTGTCTTCTATTCTTCACAATTGTTTTTAATCTTTCCTTTTTTCTAGTCCTTAACCCCGTCTGTCTCACTTTAGCAAATAATCTGAAAAGAAACAGGAAGTTATGTGAATTTTCTCTCCACTTCAAAAATCTATCTTCACCCTTCCTCTCACCTTTTTCTTTGGCAAAAATAAATGTCCTGCCTCCTTACCAATGCTTAACCAGCCTATAGTGCTTGTGATTATATCTTAAATCTGTCTTTTTTTTTTTTCATCCCCAGATTGTCACCTTCGTCTACAAATAAATTCTGTGTTCTTACACTAATAACAATAATCCTTCCATTTACCCTCAGGCTAAATATATGAAAGGATCATTTATACTTATAATTTCTACCTTTTTACCACCCACTCTAATCTGTTTTGTAATCTATTTTCCTTATGATTTCTTTTCTATCCAAACACTATATTAAAACTGTCTACTGAAGGCTACAAATGACTTCCTTATCAAACCCTTGTATTTTCCTTCAATTGCCTGTAGCATTTCAGTGCCCATTACCCTCTTCTTCTTCCTTAAAGTTCTTCCCTTTATGACAAAGGATTCTTTTCAATCTCCTTCTACCTCTGATTATTTATAAATACTCCTATCACATGTACTTGCTCCAGGTTTTGTCTCATTGTGCTTTGTCTCATTTTCTACTCTCAGATAAGCATTTACTGTAATGACTTTAAGTATCACCTGTCCAGAATCAGCCTTCATATCCTTGCCTCGCCACAAATCAAAATTTCCAACAACTTACCCAATATATTGGTCATCTAGATGACATCTCAAACTCAGTGTCTAGAATCAAACATTTTCTCTCCATCCAACTCCCACTTACTAGTACACGTTTTCCTAGATACCTAGGCTCAAAACCCCTTGTTTTCCCTTAATTTCTTATATTTTAAAAATTCAAACCTACAGAAAAGTTGAGAAGGATGTATATAATATACCTAATTTCACTGATTAGCATTTTGCCACATTTGCTTTGTTTCTATATATTTTAGACATTTTTCCTTTTCTTTTTACTTCTTTTTGTTGACTCATTTCTGCAAGTTGAAGACATCATAACGTTTGACTCCTTAATAAGTCAGCATGTATCTCCCAAGATCATCAACAAACTCCTATATACCACAACACTATTATCATACTCAAAAAAATTAATAATATTGTCTAATTATCTGATATAGTCTATATTCCAATATCAAAAATCCTCCCAATTATAATCCTTATAATTGTTATCTCCCTAGCTCAAGATCCAATCAGAATTTAGATTTTTGTGTATAGCTACTTTCCTACAATTTCCAATCAAGTTCCATTGAGTCCATCTTTGAAATATCATCTTTATGCCCCATCACTTGAATTATTTCAATAAATACAGTTTCAACTGACAGACTGCTCCCATTTTTTAAGTTTCAACCACAATAGGACTCAAATTTGCCCCTTTGTCCAAAAACTTCAACAACTTTCTACTGCTTACCAAACAAGGTCTTCAACCTGGCATTCAAGATCCTCTACAATTTGGTCACACAATACATTTCCAATTTTGTGTTCTACTATTCATCTCTACACATACTCTATTATTTTAGTCCATACTATCTTTAAATAGAATTCCCTTCCTCATAGTTTCCACATATTGAAATTATAATTATTCTCTAAATTAAACATCCCTTTTCCCTGAACTGTTTTCTGATCACCCACCCTTTCCTGCTGCCACCACATGACTTCTTCTCCTCTTCCTCTTCTACCCATTGTATTACTTTATATTTTTCTAAAGGCACATTTACCATATTCTGCCTGTACTTTACTGAGGCATGTGTCTTATCTCTAATACCTGACTACAAAAACTCTTTTAAGGCAGACAGAGATAGCAATCACATACCCTGAAGTACCAATACAGAGTCCTGCCCTTATTGGACACTGAATAAATACTGACATATTATGTCAAGAGATAGACTTCTACAAAGTTAAAATATGTCAAGAATAGTTCCTAGGCTTCCTGACTCTCCTACTCAAGTATAATCCCTGGCCTCTCCTGGCTTAGGGTGGCTTTTTGTGGTTCATGGCTTCACATTAAGCTTCAATTATTACTTCCTAGCTTTCGTACTTTATTGCTTTTTGGCTTGTTGGTGTGATATTGAACTGAAATATGAAAGGATTCTGCCTATTAGATAGGATCATTTATTTATTTTTTTTATTGTGTCATCAAATACTAATTCTATTTTTTTATTACTTTTTCAACAGAAATCATCACTAAATACACAGAGAAAAAAAATGAAGCTTTCATCAAACTAAAATAACAAACTATGACTACATAAAGAAATAATTTCCAAGACTGCCATTTATACTTACCTGCCCCCAGGCATACATATTATTATGAGTCTGTGAAGGGTTGACTTTTGAAAGCAGGAAACGAGCCTTAAAAACAAAGAATAATATTATCCATCAGAAATAGCTTAAGTAAATATAAGCTGAATAAATACATTATGCCATCTAAAGCCAATTTTATTTAATATGTTGGTAAAATTAACTTTATTAAAATGTAACATTTAAAAAGATTAACTAAATTTTAAAATGTGTAGGCTACTATGTTATATATAAATAATAAATATATCCACTTCTCTAAATCATACATTTATAATCTCTATAACAAATTGTTGTGTCAAAAACTCAGCATATAAAAATTGTGTGTACAACATTTATGACAAGGTTAGTATAAAATCACCAAATGCTTGCTCTGTAACAGTTTCGGAAATTCAAAATCCCAAATAATAATACAAATTAAAAACAAGAAAATCTTGTATTCTTTAAAAAATGATTTTCAAACTTTTTTAAATCACAGGTGATTCTATGAGACAACTTACCCAACGTTTTACCCATCTTCCCACTATGGTTTACATCATGAAAAAAATCAGAACAGAAGAGGAAAGTAGTAATATGCATAGTGAGATATCAATGAGACTAGAACATGGGCAGTCATATCTTTTAAATTTCAAAAATCTCTTTCTATTCTTTAAGTATTCACATATTACAGTCAAGAGCATTGGCCCTTAAACTGGCCCAGAACTCCAGAATTCAAACCCCAGATCCTCCATTTACCATTTCCTTGACCACAAGTAACCAAAGTCTCCTATAAAAATGGATATTACAACAGAATTCTTATAAAGATCTTATAAGGAGTGTAAATTGCTTTGCAAATTCTCAATACCTGATAATTCCTACTATAAATACAGTAAAACACTAACAATAATTGTTATCATCTCTGATAATAATTGTTACTGATATCTGCTACCTTTTTTGTAATACTTGCTACATGCTGGGGTTACAGCGATAAACAAAGCATAATCCCTGCCTTTAAGGAGTAATGACACAAACTTATAATAACTTAAAATTAATTTATCATAACTCTTCTTTTCTTTAGTAATGGGGATTGAATTCAGAGTGCTTTACCATTGGGATACATTCTCAGTCCTTTTTATTTTATTTTGAAATAGGATTTAAGTTGCCACAGTTGGCCTTGAACTTGTCTTATGGAATCACCTGCCTCAACCTCCCTGAAGCTGGAATTATCAGCACCATGCACCACCATGCCCAGAAATTTATTATAACTCAAAACGGAATCACAAGGAAGAAATAAGAACTGTTTTATAAATGTAGGTATGCTAAGGCATCTAATCTAGCCTTCTGAAGGGATCAAATGAGACAGGCATATGCATATATATTTTATTTAATCCTCACAGTTCAAAAAACCACAGTTTCTTTTAATACCACAAAACTTTCCTTTAAATTGACAATTTATTTTCTAGAAACTGGAATGACAGAATGAGAAAAATGAAAAAGTAAGTTAACACAAACTTCATATTCATAGACTTTATCAGTAAAATTACAGTTTTTAGAAAGGTACACTAAATTATTTCCCCAGCTGTTCATATATTGTTCACATATGTCAGCTCAACTAAAGCTGACATAACCACTGCAATGCCATCCTAACTTTGTTATGAGAGCTGAACTGGAAACAGAAGATGGAGAAAACTGGTAGCTTTAGGCAACTGGTCAATCATCTTAATGCTTTGCTCTCAAAGTTACTGCAAAAGCATTCCTGTCTTCTCCCCTTTCTGTCTTGTAAAGCAATCTATTCAAACTAGTCATAAAACAAGTAACTATACCTCATTGCAAACCTATCAACAACCACACAAAAAAATTACACTACTTACCTGGCTGCCCCCATGTTCAGTGTCAATATATCTTGGCATTGGAAATCTGGAGTGAAGGATCTCCTGTGCATCATCTACTGGGGCTTGCAGAAGGTGACGGAAATTTTCGTATTCTGGCATGTCTTGGTATCCTGACTTCCGCCACTGTGCTATAGTCTAGTTTTAAAACAATTGAAGGAATTACTTTAAATTTCTTGCCCATCTAAAAATCTTATGATTTTTTTCAAAGGAAATAATATTCAGAAAGTGACAGAAAAGTATTCCATTTATCTCAATTTTTTAAAGTTAAAAATACTAATTTCAGTAGATAAAATATTCTTAGGTAAACAAAAAATTAGGAGATTTCTTCTCCTTTAAAAGAAAAACAAAATAAAAGTTTATGAGATGTGAGTGGAATCAATTAAAAATAATCAAATAATAATAATGAATAAAACTTTTAAAGTTCTAGAGTATTACTTAAAAGGATATTTTTAGTAACATCTTTACTATTCCAATGCAAATCTAAAATAATTTACAATTAAAGAAAATTTAAAGATAAATCTGTATAAGTTACTAAAATACTAGACTATAAGCTTGAGCGCAGGTCTGTGAAAAATCGATCTCTTCTAAACATCCAGAGTATGCTACTTTTTTATACAGTGGATGTACTTAAATATTGGCTGGATAAATTCAGTAAGAATAGAGTTCTGCTAAATACCTGAGTTAAAGCTTAATGGTTTCTCAAATATTCTACTCTTTTCAATCATTTACCATTCCAATTAAGTTATAAATTTTAATTCATTTATGCCTTAAATGAACTTTTCAAGATCATGTGAGACACTTTTTAAAATAACTTATAATGATCACATGAAATAATGAAAAAAAAAAATTTGTCTCCTGACAAAGGCTGGCTTTTATCCTCTCTTCAAGGTACAACCCAAAAATCTCATCTATCTATGCACATGTCAATGTTTTTACATTCACAGCACTTGATTTGTATAAAATCTATTTGTACAAACATGTATAGACAAATGAGAACAACAAAAAAAACAGAGGAGGGTCAATTGTGATTGAAACCTAAAAACCTAAATTAAGAAGAATCACATTATATACACACAGGTTGAGCATTCCTTATTTGAGATCCTTGGAACCAGAAGTGTTATGGACTTCAGATTTTTTTTCAGATTTTTAAATACATTTAAATGCATACACATAATGAAATATCTTGGGGGTGGAAGCCCAATCTAAACAAAAATTCATTATGTATTATATAGTTATTACAGATACAATCTGAAGGTAGTTTTTCCATAATATTTTTAATAACTTTGAGCATGACACAAAGTTTCATAGTGGAATTTTCTACTTGACTCATGTCAGTGTGCAAAGTATCAGATTTTGGAGTATTTCAGATTTGGAGTTTTGGATTAGGCATGCTCAACCTGTATTTTATAAACAGGGAAATCAAAGTTTATTATCAGAGATGAACACTAGCTATATTAATACAGGAGTTAAAAACCTTCCTTGAGTAAAAAAGACTTTACATGCATAGCCTTAAATGGCTACAGGATCTTACCTCACCATGATAAATCAAAATCTGGAAGAATGTGTCCATGAGAAGAATACGATCTGCAAGAATGCTGCTGCTATCAAGAAGAACCGGCTAACATGGAGAAAACAATCAGAGTTACAAAAAAATTAACTACTTAAAGATACAAAATGGATCTTTCCAGGATTTTCTTTTTAATTGTGGAACTGGTGGTTTAATCCAGGAGCATTCTACCACTGATCTACACCTCCAGCCCTGCTTAAAATTTTTTATTTTGAGGAAGGGTCTCACTAAGTTGCCCAAGTTGGCCTCGAACTTGCTATTCTCCTGCCTCAGCATCCCAAGTTGCTGGTATTACAGGCATGTAGCACTATACTCAGCTCCAGAATAGTTTTTGATTCTGAAATTTTTATTACTTAAAATCTCTTAGTATTAAAAAAAAATTCTTGCAGTGTATTTTAATTTAATTTTCTAAGATATCTTTACAAACTGAGGTAACAAAAAATAGAGTCAAGAAGAAATCAAGGATAACTCTTAAGCTTAATAGTGGCAGCAATAAATGAAATGAGAAAGGCTTGGGATAGAGCAAATTTCCATATATGAATAAAAAGGAGTGGACCAAACTGATGATATAAATTTGGGTATCATATGCCCAAAGATGGTAATTAAAACCATGGGATTAGAATGCATCACCTAGAGAGGGGAGAAGATAAGGAAAACAAAAGATTGAGCCTATAAGCATGCCAATATTTACAAGTCTTAAAGGGACCTTCATGAGTAGGGGAATACCAGGTGAGAACAGTAGGAGTCAGAAAAGACTAAAGCATAAGGTTTTTGAGAAGAGAGTCCTTATTAGCAAATACTGTGAATAGCTTGTTGAAACAAGTTGTGGAATAATGGTGGTCTTGATAAGAGCCATTTTAATATAATGTTAGGGACAAAAACAGAATATATGACATGTTCAACCCGTATATTATAAAGTGGGAAATGTATGACATGTGATGAATGTCAAGTGAGAAAGTGTAGACAATAAATAACTTTTTTGAATTTAATTGTGAGCAGAGAAATTGATGATAATTAAAGAAAATGTAAGGAAAGGATGAGGGTTTTGATAGTTTTCTTTTTCAACCTGACTGCTGTTAAAGTTTCTAGGTTAATGAGAATGATACAGATGGACACAAAAGTGGTGATGCAGGAGAGAAAGAAATAATTTCAAAAGCAAAGCCTTAGGAAAATGAGGTTAATGGGATTCATGTATTAAATGAAATGGTTGGAATTTGATAGGAGCAGGGACTAGGGATGGTGGGATTCAATTTTCTTCTAAACACTATTCTACATTTTTCCCAGTGTCTACAGTTTATATACATTACTCTGAAATAAGAAGTTACTTATAAAACTTATTTTTTTGATTCAAAGAGTTACAAAATTAAAATACATAGCCAAACCAACGTATTTTTAAAATGTATTTTCCTAGTAGAAACTATTTGACAAATTATTTAAAAATTACACTAACAAAATAAAACATTTCCTACTATTTTATAAGACATGAGGTATCATGAAGGATCACTAACAAATAGAAATCACAAATATTCTCTATATACTGATCCTTCTTCAAGTATTACTTTCAAATACAGTCATTACAAATTTTTATAAGTGGTAAAACAGACAATTCAGAATATAGAACAGAAAAACTGTTCACTGATAACAGGTTAAAGTAAATGGAACAGTTTGACAAGGAAGTTAAGCCATCATTCTTCTAAGTATGTCTTAAATATAGCAACTGTATCTTATGTTCTCAAAGGACCAAAGGAAAATGAGACTATGTTTAGACAGAATACTGTAACTATCTGACACTAAATTTTGAAATCAGCTGAGTACTACAGAATCACAATCACATCTGAACATTGTTAAAGATATGAAGTATAATCATAGGCCAGGAATGGTTACACACACCTAAATCCCAGCAGCTCGGGAGGCTGAGGAAGGAGGATCACAAGTTCAAAGCTAGCCTCAGCAACTTAGCATGGCCCTAAGCAACTTAGCAAGACCCTTTCTCAAAATAAAACACAATACAGGTTGGAGATGTGGCTCAGTGGTTAAACACCCATGGGTTCAATTCCTGGTACCAAAAAAAAGAATAATCATAGGTGTTACAGGATTTGATCAACCAAATGGTCAGACAAAATAATCTAAAAGTCTCTTCTACAATATTTTTATATTATTTTTAATGATCTCTCACTATACTTACCAAGATATCTAGTATAAAAAAAGCTCTCATAAATATTTTTAAGTGAATAAGTGATTCAATTCTTGTATATAATAATTATATATATATTTTTAAATTAACTGTTCTATTTTAATGCCAAACATCACAGTAGTAAGACCAATGAACATTTGTGTGTGTGTTCCTCCTACCTCTGGTGGTCCACTAAAAGAATATGCATACAGAATAGGCTGAATCATGATTAGAGACTGGGTCAGATCTTGACGCATAAAATGATGACGATAATACGAACTTTCATCGGGACTATTGTTAAAAACTTGCAAGAAAGGAGATCGTCTTAAATGAAACATAAACTGTAAAATAAAATATGAGATATTGTTACTGATTTTAATATCAGGACAGCAGTTTACAATCAAGAAAAGCATTTGATTACAACTATAAACAATACAATAAACAATTTATGTTGAGAACATTCTAAACAATATTCCTCAGAAATTCATGCTATTTATCAGCTGCTTGAAAATATAATTCTATGAAAAGAAAAAAAATTAAATGAGAGGTAACTCCAAAATATAAAAGTAGGAAAAAAACTTCTTGTTCAAATCTATTCTTCTGAAGCTGATACCAGGTAGTGTTTTATCAGCTTCTCTGTTGTTATTTTTTTGTTTTTTTAACATATATATATTTTTAGCTGTCAATGGATGTTATTTTATTTATTTATATGCAGTGCTAAGAATCGAATACAGTGCCTCACACATGCTAGGCAAGTGTTCTACCACTGAGCCACAACCCTAGTCCCAGCATTCTCTGTTTTTATCCCTCATCCCTCTGACCACAACTCTGGATTTTTTCATTACTACATCAAAAGGCTCTCAAAAAAAAACAAAAGTAGATTAAAATACTTTTTATTTTTGACATGCATCTAAAAATTTGGGCTAGGAAGAGTCTGCATTAGTTTCAAAAAGAGAAAAAAACTTTATCTATACCCATAGTGTTATCTAATATTTAGGTCTTCCCCATGCCTAGGAAACATCCTCCAGACTTTGTTTTACAGCTTCTTTCTTCTTTTACTTCCTCCTCCTCAAATAAAACAGATTTTTTTAAAAAAGGAGAGAGGCAGGCCTAAATAAAGAACAGCTATCTCTACTAGATCTTTCCTAAAATCAGCAGGATCAGCCCCAAAGTACTCCCACTTGTCTTTCATCATGTCTCTTAAATTCTTTCAGTCCTGAGGTCCTAAGTGCCTGCATGTTCCTCCTGCTTGGAACTTACTTCACAGTTCTCTCCCAACACATAGCACTCAGTGAAATTCTCCTTCCTTTTCCTTTCTTTCTTTTTTTTTTTTTTATTGGTTGTTCAAAACATTACAAAGCTCATGATATATCATCTTTTTCAGTGATCCATAATACAATAGAGAGGTTCTCTCACCCCTTATCATTTGAATCATTCCTGTTTACTTACAAGAATGTCTAATTACTAAATTCTTAGGTAAATATTTTGGGGATAAAGACTTCCCTTGAATTTAATGTATGCCACTTTTATCTATCTTATTTATTTATTTATTTATTTATTTATTCTTGGTACCGGGGTTTGAACCCAGGGGTACTTAATTGAGCTACATCCTAATTCCTTTGAATTTTTACTTTGAGACAAGATCTCACTAAATCCCTCTGCCTGAGTCTACTAAGTCACTGGATTCCCAGAGTGTGCCTATGCATGTGCCTCTGGCACCTTTATATAAGATCCTCAGGTTTTGAAAAACCTAAGGAAAAAATATTTCTGAGTTTTCTGCTTCCTACTTCCAGCAGAAGGGAAAAAAGGAGATTGGTGGGATCACTCTGAACATCTAAAATTCCAAAGAGAAGTCTTAGAGTAAGGACAAAAGAGGAAGAAAGGAAACTGAAAAACTCAGTCTAACATATAGTATGCTAATACCCACATTCATTTTGCTTTTTTTTTTCAATCACAAAGATAAGGCCTCAGAAAGGACTTTGCATGCCTTAAGACAAATAGATCCTGTTTTTTTCCTTAATTCTCTAAAACCTCATTAGTTTAGAAAAGTCTCCCTTTATTTAAAAAAAAAAAAAAAAATGGGGTTTCTGGATCACAAATCAACAAAGGATCTAGCTTTTTTTTTCTTTTTAATTAGTTTTATTTTGACTAGAACATTATTAACACAATTAGGCATAGCAATGGATTGTTGCTCTGTTATTTTTATGTGGTGCTGAGGATTGAATCCAGTACCTCACATATGTGAGGCAAGCACTCTACCACTGAGCCACAACCCCAGCCCCAGGATCTAGCTTTTACACAAAGTTTTTAAGGGCAAAAACTTGAATTTCTGTATCTCAATATCTATCATCCCTCTAAGTTGAGCTGAAATGTCACCCTCTATAAAAATGTATCAAACCATTCATTTGAAAGAATTTCTTTAGGTTTTCTTTAAATTCTATATGCCTTTCATAGCATTTCTCACTTTTTCTTCTGTGTTGTTTGGGTGTACATCCCCAATTTTACCCTTCAGACTGAAACTCCTTCAAGTGGGATCCAGGTCATCATCATTATAGTACCCAGTTGAATAAATGTTCTCTCTGTTATTTATTATATAAACAACTATAATATCTATAGAGTTTATAGATAAGGGGACAGATTCCACTATGCCCAGTGGAAAAGGTTCATAAGGTAAATCAAGTTAGTTTCTTTACCTGGTATAGCCCACAAAACTGGTTCTGAGGTGATGATAACATGCTGTAAGTCTAAGTAATTGGTAAAATTACCTCACAAAAAGTTCTTGGGGGGGGTGGGGGTGGGGATATAGCTCAGTTGGTAGACTGTTTGCCTTGCATGCACAGGCCCTGGGTTCAACCCCAAGCAACACAAAAAGAAAAAAAAAAAGTCTTTGTGGTATCACTGCAATTAGAACCTGTTATATCAGATGGAAAGCTAATCACTTACACCCAACTGAAGTAACAGTAGGGTTTCATTATAAATCTGTATTCCACAAATAAATGACTATTTGTAAGAGCAAAATATAAAAACACTATAGACTTTTCATTCGATACTCACAGCATAGTATTAATTACTTAGCTATCCCAAAAGTTACCTAATCAAAAGAATAACTCAATAAAAATGGTCCTATGGGGCTGGGGTTGTAGCTCAGTGGCAGATCACTTGCCTAGTATGTGTGAGGCACTGGGTTCCATTCTCAGCACCATGTATCAATAAAGGTCCATTGACAACTAAAAAAATATTTCAAAAAAAATAGATCTTATGAGATGAGTAATAAAAGATAAATAATAGCTGGGCATGGTGACACACGCCTTTAATCCTAGCAGCTCAGAAGGCTGAAGTAGGAAAATTGCAAGTTCAAAGCCAGCCTAAGCAACTTCAGAAGGCCCTAAGCAACTTAGTGAGACCCTGTTTCAAAATAAAAAAAAGCTAGGGATATGGCTTAGAGATTAAGCACCCATGGGTTCAATCCCTGGTATTAAAAAAAAAAAAAAAAGTAAGACAAAATGCTACTGGCAACGCAAGAGAAGAATTTTATCTACTTACCTGTGGATAAAGAGAGAAAGTTTCTGAAAATCTGAAGGAACTTGGATCATCTTTGTGATACTCTCCAAATTTCTGACACTAAATAAAATAAAATAAAATGTGTTAGTAATGAATTTCTGCTATCAGAGCCAAAACTTGTTGCCTCTATATATTCTATTTATAAGAAGTTACTACATTTTAGGAGGTAGACACTTGATATAGGATAAAACTGGAATATTACATATACATTTAGCAAGAGATTGATTACAACAAAAAGAAAACATTCGAATTTCAGAAACAATAATAGTATAGTAACAACTCACCCTAGAATATTTGGATTTGTTTAACTAAGTATCTTTGTTAATAAATAAAGAACTCCTAGACACTGGCCAAAAAAATTCCCTAACACTTTACCAAGAAAGATATTAGCCAACTAAAGGAAAGATGCCTATCAAAATGCCAGAGTAGCTATAAAAGTACATTGCTGGTACAAAATTTCATATATCAGAAATACCATAAAGAAAGAAGAGGTGAGGAAAAGAAAATCAGAAAGACCAACAGGAAATCTGATAAAGAAAGGCAGAAATTAGAAGATGTAAAGAGTGACATACATTGGCAACAGAGAAGTAGGCTATGATAACATGACAAAAGGCATCTAGGGAATTAAGTAAGATTATCTACAAGAAAAACTGCCTAGCACAATGACTGGCACTTACTAAAGCACTCAATAAATCATAACTTTTCTTATTCTTGAGTAAAAAGTCTCTGCCCTGAAAAGGTTTTTTTTTTTTTTGGGGGGGGGGGGTGGTGTTATAATATATTCATACGTGCACACAATAAAACAGTATAATTTGATCAATTTCATTCCCCAGTACCTCCCCTTTCCCATCCCTCCCTCCCTCCCTCCTCCTGATCCCCTTCTTCTATTCTACTGGTCTCCCTTCTACTTTTTTTTAAATTTGTTCTAATTATTTATACATGAGAATAGAATGTATTTTGACACATTGTTCACAAATGGAGCATAACTTCTCATTCCTCTGGCTGTACCTGGTGCAGAATCACACCAATTATACATGTATATAGGGTAATAATGTCTGTCTTATTCTACCATCCTTCTAATCCCCATTGCCCCACCCCTCCCCTCTGCACAATCCAAAGTTCCTTCATTCTTCCCTACCACCCCACCCCACCCTTCGCCCCATTCATGGATCAACATTCTCTTATCAGAGAAAACATTTGGCCTTTGGTTTTTTGGAACTGGCTTATTTCACTTATGATGTTCTCTAGTTCCATCCATTCACATGCAAATGCCATAACTGAAAAGTTTTTAAGACTTATGTAACTGTTCTATCTTCTGGAAATGTTTACCATAGTAGTTGCATATGAGTTAAGGACAAAAACAACAGGCAAAATGTAATAAACAAAAAGTAACAAAAGGTTCACTGCTAGAAGTTGTGCAGGACTCTTGCTACCTGGAATGTTCAGCTCTATCATTTATTTGTGCCCTACAAAGAAAGTAAAAGGTATATATGGCTTAATCTAATTTTAGCTTCCAGGAAAAACCATTTCAGAATCAGAGTTATCCAAGGATAGAAAAGTCATAGATGGAGGCTCAGTTACAGAGCACTTGCCTATCATGTTTTTGTTCTGCTTTGTTTGGCATTAGGAATTAAACCCAAGGCCCCTTTACCACTGAGGAAACCAGTCCTTTTTTTATTTTGAGAGGGTTTCTCTAAGTTGCTGAGGGTCTTGCTAAATTGCTGAGGCTGATCTCAAACATGTGTTCTTCCTGCCTTAGCATCCAGAGTCACTGGGATTCCAGACATGCAACACCACACCCAGCTACTTGCCTATCATATGAGAGGCCCTGGGTTCAATCCCAAGCAGGCAAGCAGGAAGGAAAGAAGTCATTATAATAGAGTTAATCCTTGGAAAAAAAAAAAAAAAACCCAGATCTGAGAATAAGAGCATTGCTATCTTAATTTTCCCTCATAATGCTTCACTGGCAAATTAATAAACTCGTCATTGTCCAATGATAGCCACTAGCTACATGTGGCAATTTAAATTAATTAAAATCAAATAAAAATTAGAAAGTCAGTTCCTCAATTGCACTAGCCAAATTTCAAGTGTTGATTAGCTACATGTGGGTGCCAGTTCTGTAATAGTGCATTTCTAACATTGCATAAACTTCTGGATAGTGATGACAGAATATCATATATACTTGAGAAGATCTAGAATACCAAATATATTGAATAGATTTTGTGAAAAAGTCAGTATGTCAGGCATTATTCAGAACTATCAGCCACATTATATTAACTATACACCTGTCAAAATGTGTCTAAAATTCTGTTAAAATAATGTATTAGGCAAACCTGATGTTATAATAATGAGGGAAACAAAGGATTATTGAGCTGGGCAGAGTGGGAACATGCCTGTTATCCCAGCTACTCAGGAGGCTGAGGCAGGAGGATTACAAATTTCAGGCCAGCCTCAGCAATTTAGCAAGACCCTGTCTCAAAATAAAAAAAAAGAAGGGCTGGGACAATAGCTTAGTGATAGAACACCTCTGAGTTCAATCCCCAGTACCAAAAAAAAAAAAAAAATCCCAGAGTTGGAAGTATCTGATACTTATGCCAAAAATTTCTGCTTTAATTGTCAGCATTTCTTTCATGTCATTAAATACTCTTATTACTACTTCAATTTTAATGCCTGACTAGCATTTCAATACTGACATACACCATAACTATCTTAACCAATCAATCCCTCATTATTGGCATCTTCATTTATCCTATTGTAATTTTAGAATAAATTCTGAGAGATTTCTAAGTAAAATATAGTTTTTAAGTTTTTGATGTAGTCAACAACTTCCTTGACACACGTGGTTATAAAGATGTTTATAAAGGCTACACAGATTCATATACCAAAACTATAAACTATGAAGTTTTCCATTTCCCTGACTACAGGGCAACTCTAGCAATTATCCCATTTTTCTCAGTCTTACAAGAATTGGTAAGAACCTAGCAATGCCAACATGTAAAAGAATAGTAAATAAAATGTTAGGACAAACTGCAATCTGGGAAATCAAAAAATTCCATTTTAGAGAGTTGGGAGAGTAGCTCAGTGGTATAACACGTACTTAGTGTTCAAAAGGCCTTGGGTTCAATATTCAGCACTCCAAAACACAGGTTTCATTATAAAACAGTATTAGCCAAAGAATTGATGACATTTCACATAATGCTAAAGAAGTTTGTGTAATAAGGTAAAAAATAACAATATCCCTATTCAGAATGACAAGTTCACAGGTTTCACCAATGTCATGGCAGGTTTTTAAATGATAGTAAAATTCCAGAAAATTTTGCTACTGCAAAGATAAGCTTCTCTATTGCCCAAAACAAATAAAGGTCAAAATATATTTAATGATTTATCTTCCTATCTGGAATGAAAGATCCATCTCTGAGGAACTGTGTTGGCATTTGTACTGATAGTGTCCCATCAATGGCTGACTCTGTGAGAAGTTAAATCTCTGGTTTTTTTTTTTTAAAAAAAAAAAAAAAAGATACACTAATACTGTCATAACACTGTTTTCTACAGAGAGATGCTTCACAGAATTTTTTTCTCCTTGGTCTTTAATTCAACCTTAGTTGTAAAAATCACATAATTAAAATTACTTTGTGTTCTTTTCTCTCTACACTAATATATTGACTAAAACCAAAAGTTGAGTGAGAATTTCAGTCTGAGGGATTAATCTGATATTTTGCATAAAATAATTTATTAAATTCACATGTTTTATAAATAAAGATGAAAGTGGAAAAAAAAATAGCTAATGCTAGATGTGGTGGCATACATCCACAATTCTAGCTATTCAGGAGGCTGAAGCAGGAGAACAAGGCCAGCCTGGGCAACCCAGCCAAACTCTGTATCAAAAATAAAAAATAAAAAAGAGCTGGGATGTAGCTCAGTGGTAGAGCACTAGCCTAACATGTGAAAGGTCCTGGTTCTATCCCAAGTACTGCAAAAAAAAAAAGAGAGAGAGACTAACTTTACTAAACAAAGCCTAGTTCACTCAAGACTATTTTTAAAACATGAAATAAAGCACAACCTATTTGATAGTTTAAAAGCAAATTAGTTGTCTCTTGTACTCAATAGCTTAACAGAGCTCTCTCCATAGGGTATTCAAGCTGAAGAGTGAATGCAGAAGTACTTTCAAGGAAATGACAGGCCAGAGGAGTAAAAGTAGAACATTAATAAAGTCTTCTAGGGGGCTGGGATTGTGGCTCAGCAGTAGAGCACTCCCCTAGCACGGGTGGGATCCGGGTTCGATCCTCAGCAACACATAAAAATAAAGGCATTGTGTTGTGTCCATTTACACTTAAAAAATAAATATATATATTTATATATATTAATAAATATATTAAATATAATGTATATAATACATAAATATATTTTATATTTATATTATATATATATATATATATATATATAAAAAGTTTAAATTAATTAATTAATTAAATAAAGCCTTCTAGGTCACAATGTGAGAAATGGGTTCCTGGTATGTTTACAAAATCAAGTAAATCAACACCAATCATTTTTCTAGCATATATTTGTAATCTATGTAATTTGTAATTGATACTTGTCTATATTTCTATATTTAATATGTATAATTTATATATACCTCACTTACTTTTAAAATATGTATTTACAATATGAAGTTCCATTCAATATTAAACAGAAATAAAACTAACAATGAATATACAAAAAAAGTAGTAAGAGCAGTTACAGTAATACCTAACTAAATTTCAAACTAATTTCATACCAACTAAAATCAATAGAAAAATATAGGTTACATACTTGCCATTCTTTCATGTTAAGGAAAAAAAGGAATTCACTTTTACTGGAAGTTACTACTGAATTTTACTATCATTACTATGGTATTGTCTCAGTAATTTAAATAGGAATCCCTCATATAGTACTTCAGGGTCACTGTTAAGTACTTTTAAGGAGATACAGCAAACATATTACAAATGAAAACATATGTTTATTAGAGAAGCACAATGTTTATTTACCAATCGAATGAGCTGTCTGTCCAGCCATCTGAGCACATCTGGTCCTTCCTCTGTTTCTGCTCTATATATTGCTAGCCGGGCCATAAGAATGGCAGCTGCCTCCTGGTCAAAAGATGCAGCGATGTTTTGGATTTGAGTTTGAGCATCTGCCCAGCTAAAGAAATAAGAAAGTACAGAAATGTTACTGAATTATATTCACATCATCATAGTTGGCCACCACACAGATTTAAATTTGAAAAATGAAGAAAACTACTTCAATATTTCAAATTCCAACACTACATAGACAAATTAGCTTTGGGGAGGGGGGATAGAAGCTTTTTTTGGTTGTTTGAATTGTTTTGTTTCAGTGATACCAGGGATTGAATGCAGGACTTCATACAAGCTAGGCAAGCACACAATCACTGAACTACATCCCCAGACCTACCACATTTTTTAAAAAGAAATCACTAATACTTGTTTCACTGCAGCATTGTTTTCACAAAAATATAACCAAACCTAAAAAAATTCTCTAAAGTAAACCGTAAATGCATATATCCACAATCCTGAAAACAGTAAGATTTTCACAAGTAAACATAATAGTATACACATGTATGTGTATGTGTGTATATATATATACACATATACATACATATACACATAGATACACGAATCTCTTTATCAGATGTTAGGACTTTATTTCTTCAATTTTATAAAAGCAGAAAAGGGGCTTAGGAAATAGCTCAGTGGTAAAACATTTTCACAGCATGTGTCAGGCCCTGGTTTACTCCCTAGTACCACCAAAGGGGGAATTAAGCAGAAAAATGGAAATATAAAAATAAAGATTTTCTCTAAGCCTAAACTGGAAAACAATAGAATTTTTTCTCATTAGCCTTTGATCATTAGTGCTAAAAAAAAAATCACATAATTAAAATTACTTCATATTCTTTTCTCTCCACTTTAGTATACTGACTAAAATCAAAAGTTACATGAGAATTTCAACCTGAGGGATTAATTTGATATTATGCATAAAATAGCAGTAATTTATTAAATTCACATGTTCTATAAATCCAATTCAGTAAAACTATTGCTGGGCTATCTTTGTTTATATTTGTTTATTTGATATTTCAAAGGTGCAGTTTTTTGTTTTTTTTTTTTTTAAAGAGAGAAAGAGAGAATTTTTCAATATTTATTTTTCAGTTTTCGGTGGACACAACATCTTTATTTTATTTTTATGTGGTGCTGAGGATTGAACCCAGCACCCCATGCATGCCAGGCGAGCACATTACTGCTTGAGCCACATCCCCAGCCCAAAGGTGCAGTTTTATATTACTTCAGATGATCCTAGTTCCAAAGTACCTCACTTTGAGCAAGACTGGCAATATTTATGAACTTTCTGAAAATAAATGTTGAACCAATTTTACAGATAAGACCAATCCCAAGGGAATTTGGGTAGTAAAATCTTTAAAGTTCTTCTCCCTTCTTCTTCTATTGTTAGTTTTCTGAGAATAAATAAAAAAGGGCACTGAAAATTTTGAAAATTATTTTTAATGAAATTTATGTACAGTGACTACATGAATAGTTTAGCTTAAATACTAATTATTTATTTTCAAATAATCAAAGAATTAAAAACAAAATCGTTTAAATGAAGACTTTCCCAACTGATAACCATAAAAGTGACATTTTTTTCTTGTAAAAATATAATGGTTCAACAACAGAAATATATTAGAGCAAGTAAACACAATGAAAACATGCTAATTATAACATGTTAATTATAAGAAAAATTTCACCCAGAAAACCCAAGATTTCTGACACTGTAAAAATCTCCTGTTTTGTCAATATCCCTTCACAATGATTCTTACTAGTCTCAAGCCAAACTTTCCAGATCCAAGTTATTTTCTAGGAAAAAATAGGATAACTATGATTATTTTCTCAGGCCTCTAAAGTCATGTTTCTAGTAAATGAAGAAAAGACTCCACCCCTGAAACCTTATCCCTGCCTTTGATGTACCACCTTAAATAAACCACAGGAGCCTTTTTCTAATTGTCTAACTCCAGGTCCTGTGTGGACTGAACCTACAGGGCTCCACCTTTTCCAACTTTTTCTTTTGTTCTTGATTAAATATTCTAGACCAATTTCTTAGGTAGCTTACACCCTCCTTAGCAGGAAGAAGAACCCCCTTGAGCTTAAGTTGGCACTGGCCACCTCCCCATATGTTATGCCTAACTATTCCCCTCTGAAGATTCTGCCTACATCAATACAATCAGACAAAACCATGTTACACAAAACACTATCCTATAATCTTAACTACTAGAGACTTTACCTTGTGTGGTCTTAACGGGTGCTAGTCAAAGTGTGGTATATGAACCAGGTCTCATTTCCCATGAGATAAGAATACAAACTAAAAATTTCAGAAAATTTTGAGCAACTCAACAAAATAATTTTATGTCTAATGAATCTACTAATAAAAAATAGGAACTGTGTTTTGAGTGGCTTTTTAAAATCTAATTTTCCTAGTAATTCAATTTTTTATATTTAATAAAAGCATTCATTCCCAAAGAATTCGAAGAAAAAAAAACACAATTGGCCTTTTAGCATAGATTATTTAAAGATGGACCCATATGATGGTGAGCCTCCACCATCATATAAAGACCAAGTATGTTCAAGTCTCTTGCATTCACACTCTCCTCTAACAGTACCACAAAACAGAAGCTGAACAAAGATCTGAAAAATGAATTAAATAACTAATAACACTTGAAAAGAAACATAGTTAAGAATTTTATCATCCACTGAAAAATAATGCTACTAATCAGTACATTACATATAAGGTATATACATACTTATATATGTATATATATATGTATGTACTGATTTATATATGTATATAGATACACAGAAAGATATAGATTTTATATAAAGATATAGATATTACTGCCTATTAAAGAAAAATGTTTGATTCTTCCCTCTCCTCTTTCATTGTTATGAGGTAAATAAAAATATTTTGAAGAATGGGTCTCAGGACTTTTTAAAAATTGCTCTTACAGTTCTTATCAATCAATGTGGCTCAGTGGTTGACTGCCCCTACAATAAACAAAGTGGGTTTGAAAAAAATAAAATGCTGTTAATTGTAAATGTTCGCTTTCTACTTGTGTCTCCCAAAATGGGAATCCAATTTGGAATTATGACCTATAATAGTTTTTTTTTTTGAGAGAGAGAGAGAATTTTTTTAATATTTATTTTTTTAGTTCTTGGTGGACACAACATCTTTTTATTTTTTTATTTTTATGTGGTGCTGAGGATCGAACCCAGCGCCCCGCGTGTGCCAGGCGAGCGCGCTACCACTTGAGCCACATCCCCAGCCCAATAGTTTGGATATGTAAATTAAGTCTCTAACAAATAAAATTTATAGGCTAGGAATACAGCTCAGTGGTAGAGCACTTGCTTAGCATGCCCGAGACCCTAGGCTTGATCCTAGCACCACAAAAAACAAACAAACAAAAAAAATATATATATATATATAACTTACTTCCTAGCAATGGTGGTCACTCTGATGCGCCTCTGCCCACTTGAATGCTGATACTGGGTAACAAACTGGATTGCACCACGTCCTCCTTGAGGAATTGGAGCATTATGCTGTGTAAAAACAAATGAGTAAAAACTAAACAAAATTTACTATGTTATTATCATAGACTACATATTCTCTAGTAATAATAAAATTCATTCAAAAATTAAAAAGTCTCCCATCAAGCAAAAGCCAGGACCAGACAGCTTCACTGCTCAATTCTAACAAACATGTAAAGAAGAACTACTGGTATTAACCAATTCTTCTCAAAATATTCCAAAAAACTGAAGAGGAAAGAACTCTTCCAACTGAGACCAGCATTGCCCTGATAACAAAACCAAACAAGGTTGCAACAAAAATAGATAACTACAGGTCCATAATGAACATTGATGCAAAAATTCTAAACAAAATAACAGCAAACCAAATTCAAGAACAAATTAAAGCCAAGCATGGTGGCATACACTTACAATCCCAGCAGCTAAGGAGGCTAAGGCAGGAAGATCACAAGTTCAAAGCCAACCTTAGCAACTTAGCAAGGCCCTAAACAACTCAGCAAAACTCTGTCTCTAAATAAAGTATTAAAAAAGGGCTGGGAATGTGGCTCAGTGGTTGACTGCCCTTACGTTCAAACCCCAGTACCAAAAAGAAAAAAAGCAAATTAAAAAGATTATTCACCATGATCAAGTAAAATTCTTCTCAAGAATACAAAAAACAAATAAATAAATGTAATCATCTTGATAGATGAAGAAAATACAATTTGACAAAACTGAAAATCCCTTTATAGGGCTGGGGACATAGTTCAGTTGGTAGAGTGCTTGCCTCACATGCATAGGCACTGGGTTCAATCCCCAACACCACAATAAATAAAATAAAATAAAGGTATTGTATCAACGTACAACTAAAAAAAATTTTTTTAATCCCTTTTTAAAAACACTAAACAAGTTAGGTATGGAAGGAACATACTTCAACATAAAAGGGGAAAGGTAAAAGCTTTCTAAGATCTATAATGAGATCTTGGTTTGCTGTTATTTAGTTTAGAAAATTTTTCACATTTTTATTCAACACAATATTAGAAGTACTACCTAGAGCAATTAGGCAAGAGAAGGAAATCAAGGGCATTCAAATTGGAAATGAGGAATCAAAGTGTCACTGTTAACAAACAACACGATCTTTCCCAAAGTGCAGAAAATCCTAACTATTCCACCAAAAAACGGAAATAATAAACAAATTCATCAAAGTTGCAGGATACAAAATTAACATACAAAATTCAGTAGCAATGCTATACACCAATGGCCGATTATAGAAATCAAGGGCTAGAGATGTAGCTCATGGTAGAGTACTTTCCTACCATGCACAAGGCCATGGTTTCAATCCCCAGCAGCATAAAAAAAATAAAAAGAAGTAGAAAGCAATTCCATTTACAATAACAGCTACAAAGAAAATAAAATACTTATGAATACATTTTATCAAAGAGGGAAAAGATTTTTACAATGAAAATTATAAAATGTTGATGAGAGAAATTAAACAAGCTAAAACAAATGGAAAGACAACTGTGTTCATGGACTAGAAGAACTAATATCATTAATATGTCCATGCTACCCAAGGCTATCTACAGATCCATTTCAATTCCTTAAAATACCAATGATATCCTTCACAGAACTAGAAAAAAAATCCTAAAATTCATATGAAATATTCATGACCTAAATTAAATATACTTTTAAATATTCAAATACAGAAAGTCATACCTGATTAACAACCTCAAAATATATAGCTAAGGTTGTAGTGGGACTGAGTCCACATATCTTCCATTGACAAGTGCCACCCGTTCCTATCTCCTGTAAAAACAAAATATAGTATGCTTGAAAGCCAGAGAACATAATTTATTAATATAAATTAAGGACAAAAAAATCTCCAGTAAGAAAAAATATTTCAATTTTCAAACCAATTCACTTCATGTTAAAAGCTTAAGAGTTGCTGGGCCTGTAATCCTAGTGTCTCAGGAGGCTAAAACAGGAGGTTCACAAATTCAAGGCCAGCAACTTGAATTTAGCAAGATCCTATATCAAAATTAAAAAAAAAAAAAAAAAAAAAAAAGCTTAAGAGTTTTTTAAGACCATATCATGAGTGGGTGCACACACACCTGTAATCCCACTGTAATCCCAACAGCTTGGGAAGCTAAGGCAGGAGGATTACAAATTCAAAGCCAGGCTCAGCAAAAGAGAGGCACTAAGCAATTCAGGGAGACCCTGTCTCTAAATAAAATACAAAAAAGAGCTGGGGATATGGCTCAATGGTTAATTGCCCCTGAGTTCAATTCCCAGTACCAAAAAAAAAAAAAAGTTTTTAACTTAAGAATGGATGGGAAAGTGTATGTGAAAAGAGCATAGAACACAAATAGAAGCATATCAGAAGAAAATAAACCACATAAAACAGGCCATATAATAATTTAAAAAGGAATGCCACACCAAATCTTTCTTGGTGCTGCCCAAGAATCAACTGTATTTCTTTTTAAGAATAAAAGTCACTGGCCTCAAGCAGGGGTTATGGCTCGGTGGTAGAGCACTTGCCTAGCATGCATGAGGCACTGGGTTCACTCCCCGGCACCACATAAAAATAAACAAATAAAATAAAGGTGATGCGTCCATCTACAACTAAAAAAAAAATTCAAAGTGTTGGTTGTAGCTCAGTAATAGAGCGCTAGCCTAGCATGTGTAAAGTACGGGTTTCAATTCTCAGCACAGCATATAAATAAAATACAATAAAGGCCCATCGACAACTAAAAAAAAATTTATAAAAGAAAAAAAGAATAAAAGTGACTTACATTTTCAGATACACAGGGTCCTTTGGAACTGAGAGACACACAGGGTCCAATTGCTCCTGAAATCTTTATTTCCCTTGAAGTCTGCAAAACAAGAATACAGTCTGGTTTCCTCAAAGATAAGCTTATATGTTCATTTCAAAGTATTTAAGAATGTTAAGATATTCTTCCATATTTAAAACTAAAAACCCAACAAAAATACACTAAAATTGAAAATAATTCATCACTGAGCACTTTAATGCTGATAACTCCCATATTTAAAATACAGCTCAAACTTAATTTTACTTCTCTTTTCTATCAACCTATAGGAGGTCTCCCTTTGGAAATATCACCCTGAATTGAAACTTACACCATGCCCAAAATTAATACGCATTAATCCAAAACCATAGTTTTCCTCCCACATAAAAATCTTGTCCAGCCAGGCACAAGGGCACATGCCTATAATCTCAGCAGCTCGGGAGGCTGAGACAGGAGGATCACAAGTTCAAAGCCAGCCTCAGCAACTTAGTGAGGCACTAAGCAACTCAATGAGACCCTGTTTCTAAATAAAATACAAAATAGCCCAGGGCTGGGATGTAGTTCAATGGTTGACTGCTCCTGAGTTCAATTCCCAGTACTAAAAAAAAAAAAAAAAAAAAATTTGTCCAGATGGTCTCTCTCTGGTCTTTACTGTCACAAAAATTTAACCTATCACATTATCTTCTATCTAAAAAAAGTAGAAAGCCTATTTATTTTCTTGCTTGAGCTTCTTTTCATGACTTATCCTAAACAGACAAGTTACCTAAGAATAACTGTCTTTTACCTAAGACAGTTATTCACTATACTACAATGACTTTTGCAGACAAAAGCATCTCCAAACTACAACCAACCCACATAATTAAAACTATTTCTCCTATATTCCAATACAAATCATACACTCTCACTGGACATTTTTCTCAAATACTTCATATTGATTCTCACCTCTCTGCCTCTCTCCTCATTGGGCTCCTGAGTAAAATGCATTCTCCTCCCATCTTTCAAAAATTATGACACTCGCCTAGAATACATTGTGCCCTACATGAATTCATTTTTCTTCCCTAAACACTATATCTGCTATTCAATTCTATCACATGAGTTAGTCTTGTCTTTCTATCCTATGACAAGACTACACCTTAGATATCTCTTGACATCTCACTTTTTTTTTTCAGAGTCAAAGAACAAACTTGCCTTGTGCATACTAGACAAGGGCTCTGCCACTGAGCTAAATCCCCAAACCATCTCTCGACATCTCTATAATTCCTAAGCATTATGCTGGATATACAGCAAGAACTAAATTCAATAACAAGATTAATATTTAATTAATATTCAAAATCATGCTTATAATATACATGTAACTAACAAACCCTTTAGGTTTTTTAAATGCAAATTTGAAATGAATAATAGAATTTTATAACAACTAACCACAAAATTATTCTATGTCAAATCTTAAATGACACAAAATAGTTTATCTTAAGTTAGATAATTTCTCCATTAAAAATACTGGCACTAGGGGCTGGGGATGTGGCTCAAGCAGTAGTGCGCTCGCCTGGCATGCGTGCGGCCCGGGTTCGATCCCCAGCACCACATACCAACAAAGATGTTGTGTCTGCCGAGAACTAAAAAAAAAAATAAATATTTTTAAAAAAATAAATAAATAAAAAAAAAGGTGTGTGCCACCACACCCAGCTATATTTTAAAAAAAAAAAAAAAAAAAAAAAAAAATACTGGCACTAAAATAAATAAATTTAGCACTAAAAAGATAAAGCATACTTTAAAAATTAAAACCAATATAAAGAAACAATAGAAAGGTAAAAGAAATTTACTCACATAATTCTACTTATAATAATTGTTTAAAAACGCTCAATCTCTTCAAGTGAACAAAATCTCTAATTCGAGATTTCAATAGAAGAGCTGGGGATGTAGTTAAGGGCAGAGCATTTGATTAGCATGTATAAGGCCCTGGGTTCTAACCCCAGCACCACAAAAACAAATGAAAACAAAAAGATTTCAATATAAAATAACCACTATTTCACTATTTTCAAAGCATACATTGAATTTTATTAATGATATTTTAAAATTATGATCAAGCCTACAATTTCTCTCTTGATAAACATATCATATGTGGGAAGTTTTGGTTCTTACCTTTATTTCTAATGTACCACCAAAGCCCATTTTAAATTGTCCATGCATATCTTTGGTAAAGACTCTTTGAAAAGTTTGTTTGAATAAAGATGTGTTGAAAGAATCACCCATTACCATGTATCCACTGCATGGGAAAAATGAAACAATGTATGAGACACATTAAAATGGGTTCATGTGTTACCAGAAAATGAATTAACTCTCAAGACTACCAATAAATTTTAAAGATATCTCCCAAAATGTGCTGTATTATTACCGTTAGTGTTTAAGACTGAAATATAAATGAAAATATCCTCACTCTACAAATAATCTTAATTCTGAGTGTATCTGCATGCCCCCCACACTTGCAATCTGTCCTCAGCAATTTTTTTAAAATTTTGCCTTAAATAGAAACACATTCACACATTAAAAATTCAAAAGGCACAACATGCTATTAAGTGGGGCTGGGGATGTAGCTCAGTTGGTAGAGTGCTTGGTGCATGTCTCGCATGCCCAAAGCCCTGGGTTCAATCCCCAGCAACACACACACACACACACACACACACACACACACACAAATGCTATACAGTAACAAATGTGTTTCTCCTACCCCTGCCTCTCAGTTCTGCATATTGGTAAAGATATCTGACATTTTATAGCATACATTTTCATTCTTTTGTTTGTTTGTTTATTTGTTTGGCAGTACTGGGAATAGAACCCAGCAGCGCTCAACCACTGAGTTATATGCCCAGCCCTTTCTTTGTTTAAGACAGGGTCTAGCTAAATTGCTCAGGCTGGTCTTGAACTTGTGATCCTCCTGCCTCAGTCTCCCAAACTGCTAGGACTACAGACATGTACCACCATGCCCAGGGCATTCTTATTCTTAAAAATAGAGGGAAGTATTTATGGAACATTTTCACTTTATACCCTTAGGCATTGTTTAAATTTCTCACTTTGGCAGCACACAGAGTACAGAGTATAAGTTGGAAAATTATACTTAAGAGCCCCACACAGAAGATAAGTTCCATGACAACAGATATTTTATGTTTCGTTCATTGCTGTATTCTAGTCCCTTGAACAGTTTGCCAGGGTAGAGGTCAGTGGAGCACTTGCTTAGCATATACAAAGGCCCAGGTTCAGTCCCTAGCACTGCAATGAAAACAAATAAAACTGTTTGCTACAAAGTTGGTGCTCATTAATATTTATTAGATGAACTAATAACTAAATAAACCTGAGAAATAAATTGACATACCTGAGTTTCTTAAAACTTAATGAAATTATCTCAAAAGTAATAACTTCTAATGGAAGAAGAGGAAACATGTCCCAATTTATCCTATGAAGCTAACCCAAAAGACATCATAAGAAATCTATACCTTAATATGCCCTATGAAAATAGATGCAAGAATCCTCAAGAAAATACCAAAAATTGAATCTGACTATAAATAGGGTTATGTGACCATGACCATATGAGGTTCAACCCAGGAATGTAAGGTAGACTTAACAAACAAAAATCAGGGGATGAGGTAATAGCTCAGTAGTAAAGTGCTTGCCTACTATGCACAGGCCTTGGATTTGATGATGGTAGTAGTAGAGGAGGAGGGGGAGGGGCAGGGGAAATTTAATCCTTTCATACTATGATTTTCATCTAGTATGAAAATCTATTTTCATCATAGTATGAAAAATTAAATGATTTCCCTCTACGATTAAAAACAACACAAGATGTCCACTATCACTTTTTTTATTCAACATTGTATTGTACATTCTATCCAGAGTGATTAGATAGGCAGCTAGATAGAAAGGAAGAAGTGACATGGTCTTATATATAGGAATTCCTAAGAAATCCACACAAAAAAAATTAAAACTAATACAAGTGTTCAGCAAGGCTGTCATATACAAAATCAATATAAAAACTTGATTGTGGGGGACTGGTTCAATTCTCAGCACCACATATAAATAAATTAAAATAAAGGTTCACTGACAACTAAAAAATTTTTTTTTAAAAAAACTGATTATGGGCTGGGATTATGGCTCAGTGGTAGAGTGCTTGCCTAGCAGGTGTGAGGCACTGGATTCAATCCTCAGAACCACCATAAATAAAGGTACTGTGTCTATCTACAACTAAAAAATTTATTTAACAAGAAAAAACTGATTGTGTTCCTAACACCAACAATAAACAACATGAGAACAGAATTAAGGAAATGATTCCATTTATAATAGCATTAAAAATAAAATATTTAGGAATATAAATTTAACAAAAATAAAAAACTGGTTCACTGAAACCTATAGAACACTTCAAAGAAATTTTAAAAGACCTTAATAAACAGAAAGACATTCTATGTTCACAGGTAAAACAATATTTAAGATAACAGTACTCTCAAAGAACTTGAAGGGACACAAATAGGAAAAGAAGTTATATTATCTGTTTGCTGATGACAAAATCCTATATCTAACAAGACCCAAAAAACTCTACCAGAAGACTTCTAGAGCTGATAAATGAATTCAGCAAAGAAGCAAGATCAATATTCATAAATCAATAGCTTTCCTATACTCCAACAGAGATTCTATTGAAAAAGAAATCAGGAAAATCATCCCATTCACAATAACTCAAAAAAAAAGAAAAAAAAAAACTTGGGAATTAATCTAACCAAGGAAGTAAAAGATCTCTGCAATTAAAATTATAGAACACTGAAGAAAAAAAATTGAAGAACACTTTAGAAGATGAAAAGATCTCTCATGTTCTTGGATAGGCAGAATTAGTACTTTCAAAATGGCCATACTACCAAAAGCAATATACAGATTCAATGCAGCCCCATCAAAATACCAATGACATTCTTCACAGAACTAGGAAAAGAAAAACAATAGTCCTTAAATTCATTTGGATAAATTAAAGACCCAGAATATCCTAAGCAATCCTGAGCAAGAAGAGTGATACAAAAGGCATCACAATACCAGATCTCAAATCATACTACAGAGCTATAGGAAGGTATTGGCATTCACACAAACATGAAGACCAGTGGAATAGACACAGAGGCAAACCCACATACTTACAGCCATCTAGTACTTGACAAAGGTGCCAAAAATACATGTTGGTGAAAAGACAGTCTTTTTAAGAAATGGTGCTGGGAAAACTGGATATGTATATGTAGAAGAATGAAACTAGATCCCTCTCTCTCACCCTGAACAATATCAAATTAAAGTGGATCAAAGGCTTAGGAATTAACTAGAAATCCTGCAACTGCTAGAAGAAAACTTAGGGTCAGCACTCCATCATACAGGTGCAGGCACCAAAACTTCCTTAACAAGACTCTAAAGCTCAAGAAATAAAACCAAGAATCAATAGGTAGAATGGCACCAAATTAAAAAGCTTCTGCACAGCAAAGTAAACAATTAAGAGTGTGAAGACAAAGCCTGCAGAATAGAAGAAATTCTTTGCCAGCTATTCCTCTGACAAGGGGTTAAGATCCAGAATGTGTCAAGAACTCAAAAAGCTAACAAAATCAACTTCACTCCTACATATGTATCTAAGAGAAACTTTTAAGCACAGTATTTACCCAAAAACTTGCACACAATGTTTAAATTAGCAATGATCCATAATAATCAAAAAATGGCAATGAAATGTTCATGATAGATTGATAAAATATGGTATATCCATACAATGGAATATTGTTAAATGAAGTTGAACCTCCTTCTTCCCTTTTTATTATACAATAACAAAGAAATAAAGCTGGGTGTGGTGGTACATGCTAATAGGGAGGCTGAAGAAGCAGCATCTCAAATTTGAAGACAGTCTAGGCAATTTAGCAAGACCTTGTTTCAAAACCAAAATAAAATTTAGAAAAAGGATTAAAGATGTAGCTCTGTAGTAGAGTACTTTCCAAGCATGTGTGAGGTCCTTGGTTCAATCCCCAGTACTGCCAAAAAAATACTGTTATATCATAAATATGAAACTTGAAACATTATGCTAAGTGAAGACCACATATTATATTATTCCATTTATATAAATTATACAGAATAGGCAATTCATGGCTGCATTATCCAAAGTACATGTATGAAGACTCAAATTGTGTGTCAACATACTTTATATATAAACAGAGATGTGAAAAATTGTGGTATACTTGTGTAATAAGAATTGTAATGCAAAAAAAAAAAAATAACCAAAGTACATGTATAAAGGCATGAATTGGCGTGAACACACTCTATATACAAAGATGAAAAATTGTACTCTATATGTGTAGTAAGAATTGTAATGCATTCCGCTGTCATGTATTTAAAAAAATAAAATCAATAAAACTAAAAAAAAATTATGTTAGAAGGTTTTATATTTACAGAGAAGTTGCAAAGAGAGTTCTGCATATCTTGTACCCAATTTCCTCTGTTGTTAACAATCCACATTATTGTGGCACTCTGTGACAGTGAGGAACCAACATAGATTCATAGCTTCAGGCTCACCTTGTGTTTTCCCTGTCCAAACCCTAGAATCAGCCAATTCTACTAGAACCCTTGATTACTTTTAGTAGACACCAAGATCTGGGTACTGGGTGTCCTCACTGCTACTGGACCATGATTGCTCATAGGCCCTTTTAATAGACAGAACTATTGTATATAACAACATTATATTTTAGACAAAAATGTAAAGTGTGTTTACACAAGAAACATTGAAACTGTTAATAAGATATTGCCTTGAAGTGATAAGACAATGATTCTTTTATTTTCCTAAACAGTCATTATTTGGTTTGTATTTGTAAACTGTCATCATGAATTTAGAATTGCAAAAATTATACAAATTTAAATACATACCCAGTAAGGTTGGGACAGCATTTCATCTCCAGGAGACCTGTCTGATCTAATGCACACGCGTAGATGTCAATAACATGACCAGTTGTAGCAGCTCGATTAGCCAATGCTTCAAAATGCTATAAAAGATTTAAGATTAAAAGAATTCATAAATTCATTAAAAGATTTATTCTTACTTTTCTAGAATATCTCACAAAAATGATACAATAACTTCTAGAAGTCTGACATTTTCACATTATTTTATTTAAAAGCCACTAGTTCTAAATAAATCCCTAAATGAAGCAAAATTTAAAGAAAGGTATACCAAACATCTTGCTATTCATCTGTCAAAAGACTAGAACAAGGGCTGGGGACATAGCTCAGTTGGTAGATGTGTTTGCCTTGCATACATAAGGAACTAGGTTCAATCTCTGACACCACAAAAAAAAAAAGAAAAAGTAAGAGTAGAATAAGACAGATTCTTTAATTCTTTTTCCTGGTTAAGTTCACACGCAAGTAACGAAAACAGACAATTCCAAAAGCAAAAAGATAAAGAAAACATATTTTGTAGCTCTAACCAAGAAAACTTAGAAGCTCAAAAGGGAAATTAGGCTGGGTACAGTTGTCATACAGTTGTAATCCCGGCTACTCAAGAGGCCAAGGCAGGAAGATCATAGGTTTGACAGCAGCCTGGACAACTTCACAAGACCCTGTTTCAAAAAATAAAGTAAAAAGGCCTGGGGATGTAGCTCAGTGGTAAAGTGCCCCTGGGTTCAATCCCCAGTACAGAAACATTAAAAAAAAGGAAATTAGTTGTCAGGAAAAAAAAAATCTATTAACAATGACAAAAATAATGTCATTAGTTACTTTTATAAATTTGGCCAAGGGCTGGGGTTGTGGCTCAGTGGTAGAGCATTTGCCTAGCACATGTGAGGCACTGGGTTCAATCCTAGCACCATATAAAAAATAAATAAATAAATAAAGGTATTGTGTCCATCTACAACTAGAAATTTAAAAAAAAAAAATTTGGTGGGCGTGGTGGCACACGCCTGTAATCCCAGCAGCTCAAGAAGCCAAGGCAGGAGGATAAGGAATTCAAAGCCAGCTTCAGCAAAAGTGAGGCACTAAGCAACTCAGTGAGACTCTGTCTCTAAATAAAAATACAAAATAGGACTGGGGATATGACTCAGTGGTTGAGTGCCCCTGTGTTCCATCCCTGTACACCCCCCAAAAAATTAACAGTGACTATCCAAAAAATATGAGATAATACAACACAACTAAGCTAAAACTGAACTCTAGAGAATTAAAAAGAAAAAAAAAGGGACATTAACAGGCAATATAAGAGTCCAGACCCTGTCTCAAAAAAATAAAGTAAAAGACCTGGGGATTTGCACAAAATCAAAAAACAAAATGAAGTCAGATGAACAGAAAATAACTCACAAGAAAATATGAAACATTCAAACTACAAACATTTCAGTCAGTTGTGGTGGCACATGCCTATAATCCCAGACTTAGAAGTCTGAGGCAGGAGGAGTCCAAGTTTGAGGTCAGCCTCAGAAACTTTTCAAGGCCCAAACAACTGAGCAAGACCCTGTCGCAAAATTTTTAAAATCATTTTTTTATTTTGAGACAGGGTCTCACTAATTTGCCCAAGCTAGCCAAAAACTTGTGATCTTCCTGTCTCAACCTCCAGATTTACTAGGATTACAGGTGTACACCACCATGCCTGGCTACAATTAAATTTTAAATATTTGAAACCAGAAAAACTGTTACAACTTTCAAGGCAAAAAAAAAATGACTATTTCCTCAGTTCTGAATAGCAGTTATAATATCAGACTTCATGAAACTAGATTTCTACAGAAATCATCAAAACAATACATCAAAACAACTTAGTACCGTCTAGTAAGGTAATAAGACTTAAAAACAAAAATTACCTTGGTTCCCTTTTTAACATATTTGGCATTGTCTTTTTCAATGTCATGCCATGATCTTATAGGTGTCTTCAATTCGTCTCCAACCACCATTCCAGGTCCCTGAGTAGCAGGACCACCAATGAACATCATGATACGAGCACCAGTGTTGGGGAAAGTACACTATTGGAAAAAAGAAACTCATCAAAAGAGTTTAAATGAAAATGAGAAAGATATAGATATACAAATTCTGATGTTGTTTAAAGAAAAGTGGGAAGAATGTATTTTCTAAGAAATAAAATAATTTAATGTTTAAAATGAAATTAAAAACCAGATGTTTGAATTTCTTTTGAAATTCTCTTCTAAATAGTAGTGCATTACTAATTTTAAAATAACCTATAACCCTAATGCCTATTAACAAAGACATTTCACCTGCTTAACTAGTCCCAGAGAAGCAGAAAGAAACACAGAAGACATCTCTTTTCTGTCCAGCCCAGTGCAGGAGATCAAACCCAGGGCCTTGTACATGGTAGGCCAGTGCTCTACCATAGAATTACAGCCCCAGCCCCACAGAAAACAAAAATAAAGGGCTGAGGATGTAGCTAAAACTACTTTTTAGTTTTCATTTTTATGCATTCTTAGATATTATTTGAATGAAATCATGTTTGTTACTTCCATAACTTTCTCAAACTAGTTTAATAAACAAAAGTAATTTTCATTTTGGTAATCTAAAATAAAAACAGTCATGTAAAAATGAAAAAAGGAAGAACAAGAACAAATGAAATACACATAAACATTTTTATAAAACTAAAGCACAAATAACATTCAAACTTCAAAATTCCTATAAATTAAAAAAAAAAAAAAAGGCAGTAAATTCCACTGATCATTACATCCTTTCACTGCAGTATTCACAAAGAGCAAACGTAATTTGGAGAAATGGGTACAAACGCGAAGAAAAAAGAAGGAAGCCAACAGACCTAGAACAGCCAGATTCAAATAAAAACTTAATAAGGAACATTAAAGAAGAACTAGAAGATAACCAAGAGAATGAAAATGAAATAAAGAAGTAAAGAGATAAGCCGGGCATGGTGACACATGCCTATAATCCCAGTGGCTCAGAAAGTTGACATAGGAGGATCACAAATTCAACTTAGCCAAGCCCTAAGCAACTTAGCAAAACCCTGTCTCAAAATGTAATAAAATAGGTAACCTAAGTAAAGTGTTTTCCCCAAGTTCTGGGAGCCCCTCTAGCAAATTAATCAAACCTGAAAATGGAGTTGTGAAAACCCCCAATTTACAGCTGGTCAGTCAGAATTACAAGTGACAACTTAGTACTTGCAATTGGTATCTGAAATGGGGGAGCAGTCTTGTGAAATCAAGCCCTTAATCCATAAGATGTGATGCTACCTTTAGGTAGACAGTGTCAGAATTAAATTGAATTATGGGCTAGGGTTGTGGCTCAGTGGTAGAGCACTCGCCTTGCACATGCGAGGCCCTGGGTTCAATCCTCAGCACCACATAGATATAAATAAATAAAATAAAGGTATTGTGTGCAACTACAACTAAAAAATAAATATTAAAAAAAAAGAATTAAATTGAATTAAAGAACATCTAGCTGGTGTCCACTGCAGGACTGCTTGATTGATATGTAGGTTAAAACACACACACGCTCCTAAGGTAACAGAAGTATTATTTGTTGATTATTGAGTGACAGAATAAGGAAAAGCACTTTGGTTTGTTTTTGCTTTTTTCCCTATACCCTTGTAATTCCATACTCTCACAGACACACACACATTTACATTCCAAAAAAAAAAAAAAAAAAAAAATTCATCATCACTACCTCAAGTAGTCCTACAGCTATGGAAAGTGCCACTCCCGAGGAACGCAAAGGTCTCTTTCCCTGTGGCACAGGCCAAGGGTCTCGCTGAAGTTCTCCCAGGAGATCTGTGAGATTCATGTCTATTTTCTGAACTGGCTGTAAAAATCTGCCAAAAAAAAAAAAATTTTAAGTCATTTGTGTTATTGAGAGTTTAAGAAACTTTCCTAAAAATAGAGAAACCATTACTTTGAAGATACAGTAAACCAACAGTTTTAAAATTTTCCCAGGCATCAGAAATTTTTTTTTTACAACAGATTGCTGGGCCCCAGTTCTAAAGTTCATTTCAGTAGGAAACAGAGGTGAGCCAAAAATTTACATTTCAAACAAGATCCCAGATGCTACTTATGTTAAAGGTCCAGTATAATATAACTGCTATAAACAAAACACTCTACTTCATCAAGATTTCATTTTTCATTTTTCATCTAGTAAGTTTTAAGTTATTGAAATAATTATGAGAAGCAACATCAACTCAATTTTAGTAATATCACTTTATCACTTCCAGGGCTGAGAGCAGTGGCTCACACCTGTAATCCCAGCTGCTTGGGAGGCTGAGACAGAAGGATCCCTAGTTCAAAGCCAGCTAAGCAACTCAATGAGACCCTGTCTCTAAATAAAATACAAAATATGGCTAGGGATGTGGCTCAATGGTCAAGCACCCCTGAGTTCAATCCCTGGTATCCCCCCCTAAAAAAAAAAAGTAATATCACATCCAATTATAAAAATTATAAAGTTCAAGAGAAAAAGCTACCTCTAAAGTTGAAAAAAACAAAATAAAAAGTTTTTGAGGTCCTATTTTTGTTGGATTGCCCTCAAACCACAAAAATTATATTTATATGAACTTAAAAATAGAAAATCAACACTATATCAAAACTAAACTCTTTACATTGTAGTGATAAAAAAAATTTCAGTGATATGATTCTGCCTCAATTCTTTAAAAAGTATAATCATGTCAGGCATGGTGGTGCACACCTGTGATCCCAGTAACTCGGGATGAAGGAGGATCACGAATTTGAGGCCAGCCTTAGCAACTTAGAAACACCGTAAGCAACTTAATAAAACTCTATATCAAAATAAAATAAAATAAAAATATAAGTAGTCTAATTAAACCCATTAAATTCCTAAAAATATTTAACAATATAGTATCGTTGAATGCCTATGTTCAAGTTAAGGATATGAGCTGGGCCGGAAGTATAGCTCAGTGGTAGGTAGAGTGCTTGTCTAGCATGAAAGCATGAGGCCTTAGATTCAACCATTAGTACCACAATGAAAAAAAAAAAAAAAGGCTCAAGGGTATAAGATGCTTAAAATAGCTGTGTAAGTTGCAAAATTCTGATTGTCATATTTGATTATTACCTATTGGAAGGAGGTGGCTGCTGTACCTGAGGACCACGTGTTGCTTGGGTGACTGGTACTTTAGAGAGTCCCAGCATCTCCTGTAAAAAGATTATTTGAGTAACATGCACTTAATTCTACAAAAACTTGTCAACTATTTATAATGTGCAAGGTGCTATGCTAGAAAGTAGGTTCAAAAAAATAAAGGGCACAAGCAAGTTCTCTTTCTTGCTTGTGGCAAGAGTCCAATTCAAGAAAGTTTCAGAAAAACAGTAACAGTCCAGTGAAATAATCATCATGAGGAAGCAAAGGACAAGATTTTATGGGAGCAAAGAGAAAGGATATTAACTCAAATACATTATTTCTAATTTAATAGTCAAAATAAATAACATATTCATCCCTTTCAGTAACTATATATTAAATGCCTACTATGTACCAGGAATAAAATGGTGAAAAAATGAATAGTCCCTGCATTCTTGGAAATTTAACTCCAAAAAGAGAAAGGAATTAATTCAGTCATCAGGTTTTCAGAATTTCTGATTGCCTGTTATACATTTTTACTACTTCATTGACACCAAGAATTCTGGATAAAGGAACTCACCCTGTATCTCCATTCTACAGATGAAAAGCACAGAGAGGTTAAAACTTGACCACTTTATCTCCTGTCTCATGGAAACAGATGATCCCCCCCTTCCAAGACATTCTGCTTCCTAAAGAATTCCTGCCATGTCTTCTGAAACCTCACTCTGCTCATCTAATTCTTGCTTGCATTCACTCTCTTCAATGTCTTTCCCTTCTGTGTATACAGTGTCTCTCCTCCTAAAGTAATCATCTTAAACTTGGTTCTTGCTCAAATTCCCAGATTGTCTCCTTCCTTATTTTCAACAACAAACCTCTTAAAACAATAAACTTAGCCTACTGGTGGCACATGCCAGGAATCCCTGAAATGCAGAAAGCTTGAGGCAGGAGGATAACAAGTTCAAGACCAGTCTTAGCAACTTAATGAAACCCAGCCTCAAAATTAAAAAGAAAAAAAAAAAAGGGCTGGGATGTGGTACAGCAACAGAGTGCCACAGGGTATTCCACCCCTCCTCCCAAAAACAGACTTTTCTTTACTTCCTCAAATCCTATTTATTTATTACTCATTATCCTCCCCATCCAAACCTGCAAGCTCCTCTAGAATGTTTTAAATTAACTTTAGTACCACTATACCAATCTGCCAAGCTTCAGATTAAGAGTCATCCTCAAAAATCTTTTCTTCCTTTCTTTTTCATTTGGGTTAACCTGGATGCCTCCAAAGTTTGACTTCATGTGTGTTGGCTTTATGCCAGGTTTATCTATTATCTTCTAGAGGAAATGTTTTCAAATGGAATTGTACTAGAATCACTTAGAAATTTTTTTCAAAATACATACATGAACAACCCAGTCATCTCCCAATACAAATAAACATTCACTTACTTTTTTATGGGCTATCAAAATCTCTAAGTGAAATGTCTAGAAGCGAAAGCTAGTATTGCTTAAAAAAAAAAAGGTGGAGGAGGAGGAAGAGGGAGGGGAAAAAAAGCTAATATTGTGTGATTGCTCTCTCCTAGCCTTCAGCATATCTCTTCTATAAGCCCTTCAAATCTCTAGTAAAATATCTTTGGTTTCACTTTAAATTTTAAAGATACATTTAGGGGCTGGGGATGTGTTTCAAAGGCACAATATTTGCTTAGCATGTGCAAGTGTCTCAGTTTGATCCCTAACACACATGGGATTAAAACAAACAAAAAAAAAAGAATGCAGTTAAAAGTAAAAGATCTTTAATCTGCCTAACAGCAATTTAAGGAACATGAAAGAAAAGTGATGACAACACTAAATTTAAAACTTTTGTTGTAACACATTTATATTAATCATTCATAATTTTTCTTTATTTTTTTAGAAACATATCCAAAAGGCATATATATTACTTACATGAAATAACATTCACAAGTTGAAAACTACCATTCTTACCTACCTGCAGTTGTTTGGCAGATAGATCTTTTGTTCCCCTAAAGACATAACTTTTTGAAATGCCTTCACATCCAAGTTCATGAACCTGCACCATCCTCCCAAAAGTAATAAGTCCAACCAAAGCTGTAGGTGGTAAGAGACTTAATGACATCTGCATGGATTCTTTCAAGGCTTGTAAATCTTCATCTTCCATGCAAGTATCAACCACATAGAGGAATATCAAAGGCATCTGTGGACCACGCTTTTAAAAAAATTTTTGCAGTAGTAAGAAAAATAAGGTTTTTTAAAGGCATTAACACTTCAGCACAAATTTTAAGACATTCGATCAGGGACTAATTAAATAATGCATACAATGGAATCCTAATACATGCATACAACAGAGTTCTATTATAGCCATTACAGAAATGAAACAGGTTATATATGTGTCATGAAGGGCCATCCAAGACACAGCATCAAGGGAAAAATTAAGTTTAAAAACATTCTACATAGTTACTTGGAGGGCACTTTTAATTTCCATTTTATTTCATTACAGGAGGGTTCATTTCTCTTGTTTTTTGCTTTCTATACTACTTTTTAATTGATGCATTATAACTATACATAATAATGGATTCATTATGTCATATTCATACATGCACATAATTTGATCAACTTCATTTCCTAGTACTTTTCCTTACCCTCCCCTCCTCTCTTCCCCAATCCACTTGCTCTACTTTACTGATCTTCCTTCCATCATTATTACTATTATTATTTTAATCAGTACATTATAATTAATCACAAAAGTGGGATTCAGCTGGGCATGGTGGCACATACCCATAATCTCAGCAACTTGGGAGACTAAGATCCTTCTGATCAAACGTTCAAGGACATATTTAGCAATTTATGGAGGCCCTAAACAACTTAGTGAGACCCTGTCTCAAAACAACAAATAAAAAGGGCTGTGATATAGCTCAGTCGAACCCATCCCTGGGTTCAATTCCTAGTACCAAAAATGACAATAAAAAAGAAAGTCAAGATTGAATGTTTTCTCTCATAGGTGGAAGTTAAAGGGGGAAAAAAAGAGCTAAGAAAGGAATCTCATGAAAACAGAAGGGAGACCAATAGAGTAGAGAAAAGGGATTGAGGAGAAGGAGGGGAGGAAATGGAGAAGTACTGGGAATGAAATCTACCAAATTACACTATGTCCATCACACCCAACTCAACCTTGACTTTCTAAGTCTGGCTTATTTCGCTTATAATAAGTATTTATTACTTTTAAAATAATAAAATAACAAATATAGAGTTTAAAAACAAAGTGAAGTGATTTTTATAAAACAACTATCCAGACTTGAAGTGGATTTTCAGAGACCCAGAAATGAGCCAAGCTAAACAAATTACTGACTGGCTCAAATGAACCATAATTCCATTTTCTTTACAATATTCATATTATCATTTCCACACTTAAACTTATAAATAACTATGTAAAATTGTCCAGAAAGGAAAGAAAAATGATTTTCCAAAGCAAAAATATTTTTATTAATTAGACATGGGGATAAATTAGCAGACTTCAGAGTTATATTGGCCAACTATTTGTAAACTGATGTTCCAATTACAAAACAAGATTGATACTTTATTTTTTATTGTTTTACTCAGCATAGCAAATCACCCCACCCTACCCAGTATCTGACCACCCAACAAATAACTACAATAAAGAAATTACCTTGCTCAAATTGACTCTGACAGCTCTTACCTTGAAATGCCCCATCAACTTAATGTGTGATGATCCCTTTTAAGTTATCTCAAATTAACAATTATCCTAATATAAAACACTGGATATTTAAAATTTTCTTAAATATCTGTTCTTTTTTTTTTTTTATTGGTTGTTCAAAACATTATAAAGCTCTTGACATATCATATTTCATACATTAGATTCAAGTTGGTTATGAACTCCCAATTTTACCCCAAATACAGATTGCAGAATCACATCGGTTACACATCCACATTTTTACATAATGCCCTATTAGTAACTGTTGTATTCTGCTACCTTTCCTATCCTCTACCATCCCCCCTCCCTCCCCTCCCATCTTCTCTCTCTACCCCATCCACTGTAATTTATATCTCTCCTTGTTTATTTTCCCATTCCCCTCACAACCTCTTATATGTAATTCTTATGTTCTTACCAGAACTACATATTCAATGCTAGAAAACTGAGGTAAAAGTTCAGCAGGCTGATTCAGTTCAGATATCCCAGCATAAGTAGGTGGAAACTATAGAAAGAAATACATAAAAATTTTTAACAAATTATTTGCAAGAAAAATCAATAAAATTTTAAACTCAAAAAATAATTACTTTTTAATCATTTAATTAGTAAAAAAGACATTTCATTACATGAAAGATAACTATTTTATCTTCTTTTTTTTAAAAAAAGATTTTTTTAGATGCTGATGGACCTTTATTTTATTCATTTATTTATATGCGGTGCTGAGGATTGAACCCAGTGCCTCACACATGCTAGGCAAGTGTTCTACCACTGAGCCACAACTCCAGCCCATATTTTATCTTTCTTAAATATTCATTTTTCTATGTGACTAGTATTATAGCATTAACATCTATAACGGGGATTTTCTTACCTGATTCCTTTGATAACAAAAGTTGCAAGCCCAGAGTTTTGCTCGATAATCCACTTGACTGTTTTAAGAAAAGATATATCAGTTCATATTTCAGTTTAATTTTATAAAGATCCTAATTTCAATAAAATTAATTTATCTCTATAACATGAATGCATTCAAATCAATAGTCAAAATGATCTTTAAAAGCTATGTATTTTGGGGGCTGAGGTTGTAGCTCAGTGGTAGAGCACTTTCCTAGAATGTGTGAGGCACGGGGTTCGATCCTCAGCACCACATAAAAATAAATAAACAAAATAAAAGTATTGTGTTCTTCTACAACTAAAAAAATTTTTAAAAATAAAGCTATGTGGGCATGGTGGCGCATGCCTGTAATCCCAGCAGCTTGGAAGGCTGAGGTAGCAGGATTGCAAGTTCAAAGCCAGCCTCAGCAAAAGCAAGGCACTAAGCAACTCAGTGAGACCCTGTCCCAAAATTAAAAATAAAAAAGGTCTGGGGATATAACTCAGAGGTAAAAACACCCTGGAGTCAATCCCCAGTACACACACACACACAAAAATGTGATTTGGACTCATATGAGATGGGAAGATTCTTAAAAAAATAAATTAATTAAAAAACATAATAAGCAGGGCATGGTGGCACATGCCTGTAACCCCAGCAGCTTGGGAGGCTAAGGCAGGAAGATCGAAAGTTCAGAGCCAGCCTCAGCAAAAAGTGAGGTGGTAAGCAACTCAGTGAGACCCCTGTCTCTAAACAAAATACAAAAATGGGCTAGGGATGTGGCTCAGTGACCAAGTTCCCCTGAGTTTAATCCTAGGTACCCACCTTCCACCCCTAAAAAAGCTATGTATCGTAACATTTTTTTAAAATACCATACTATTCAATTATGACTTTTTCAATGACAAAAGATGCCTTGATATACAGCCAGCATCAGTATCCAGAAAACACTGATAGGCTTTAACAGTTTTTATGGTGATACTTTTATATCTGATATCTTTATATGATTACTCACTACAACTAGAATGATCGTAAAACTTAACAGTTCTTTGGATTTCTTGAACTACTGGAGTCTGAAAAAATTACTATGAACAAAACAAAGACATTTTTACAAAAGTGAACATAAAGAAACTATGTGTTTGAATTGTACTACTACATTAGTTCTGTTAATATATTTTAATTACCATAAAGGATTCAAAACTGCACGGCAAGTAGTCCTACTACACAAAACAGGTTCATATTGAATGGGTGGTAAATCAGGCCTTTCCTTCAGTGGTGTAAAGAGGGCTGCAACTGGAACAACCATTCTTGTAGCTTCCAGTCGACTTGATGGCCAAACATTCCAACTAAATCGAACTCCATCTCGTTCTTCATTTTGTTGGATGAATTCCAAATAGGTTGTCATTGTAAAGCTTGATTGTTATTGCTGTAACAAAATTAAAAATTTTTATCCTTTTATGAAGATTCAAAATAAGTGTGTTTTTCCCACATTCAGCAATATTAACACATTACAAATCATGACCAAATAAAAGTATATATCTCAGTAAAGAATTAACAAGCAACAACAACTACTTATAACAAAATAAGGCTCTACAGACCCTAATGCCCAGTAAGAGATATTTTGTTCTCTTTTTATTCATCCTTTTAAAAACTATGGCCAAAAAAAAACACACTGTCTTTACTACTTATTTAAAAGCATATAGAAAAGGAACAAGTTGGAGGGGTGCTAAATCTAAATCCTATGGTTTCTGTATCAGTTTTGGAAGTTATATATTATCACAACAAAAAGACATCAAAATTATAAAATTCTAAAACTCCCATCGTTTTTTATCCATAAAATGACAGCTTCCTACTAAACTTTATAAAAGCAAATGTGTTAATAGCACATTAAAAAAAAAGATTTTCTAAAACTCGATACTTCTGAATTAGACAGGTAATTTTTATTGTGCAAATCCAGGATATCATGGCACAATAAGCAAAACACTTGTTAAATGGTGTTTCCTACAACTGACAGATCATATAACCTCTTGCTGAAACTTGAGAAAATTTTTAACATTCTAACTTATGGAAGCATTTTACACTCTAATTTAAGATATATTTTTTCAATATAATAATTTAAGTTTATTTCTGGGAGGAAGAGGATGCCACTAGGGAGGATCCAGCATCAGAAGATATCTCCATTTCATTATTCTCTAATTGCCTACCTACTATGCCAGTTTTCTTACCTACACATTAGTTCTATTCTATTTCATGTTATCAAGCTGCACAACAGTTATTCATGCAAAGAAGTTGATAAACTTAAAAAGAGTGCAGAAGGATAAAGAGTCTGAAATGCTGAGTGGCAGAGATGAAGACAAGTTAAAACAACTGAAGAATTATGATCCTAGGGTATCAGAAGAACCAATATGGATGTTAAAGTTGCCAAGAAAGATGGTGGGACAAGAAATTTATTCTAAAATGAGAGGGAAGGAGACATATAATTTAAATATAAATCTATTAGATATAACAAGATTAATTTTAGAAAATTTTTCAAATAAACTTTGATAATACAAATTACAGAAAGTGAAGCTTAACAACCTAAGTGTTTCAAGCAGCTAAGAACTTTCTTTTTCTCTTAAAAAGAAATAAAATAAGCCAAGCACAGTGGCACATGCCTGTAATCCTAGTGACTTGAAAGGCTGAGGGTGAGAGGACTGTAAATTCAAGGACAAACTGGGAAACTTATCAGACTCTGTCTTAAAGTAAAAAGGCTGGGGATGGGGCCAGGGGATGGGGCCAGGTGCTGCAGCACACACTTGAATTCCAATAGCTTGGGAGGCTGAGGTAGGAGGATCACAAGTTCAAGGCCAGCCTTAGCAAGGCCCTAAGCAACTCAGTAAGATCCTGTCTCTAAATAAAATATTTTTAAAAGGACTGGGGATGTGGTTCAGTGGGTAAAGTGCCCCTGGGTTCAATCCCTGGTACCAATAAAAAAAAAAAAAAAAAACGGCTGGGGATATATCTCAGTGGTACAATCCCCAGTCCCACATACATACACACAAATAATAATAAAAATTAAAGAAAAACTGTACTTCCTCCTATCATGCCCAAAAGTTGGGAGACAACTAGAGAATATTATGCTAATCAAAAGAGAGATGGATTTTCAAACATGTATAAAGAGTAAAGAGTAATCCTAAAATAAGATTAAACTATCTTGAAGGTAAATACAGGAAACAGTTTTGAGAGGATGGTTTTGAGTTTTCACGGAAATGTGGCTATTGAAAGACAATGATAAAACAAAGATCTGGGATACTGAGATGGGAATTAGAAGATGCTTCTAACAATAAGCACATAAGAGAAAAACAACCCCCTCCAGGAGAAATCCAGTTTTAATAACATCTTCCATGTTACAAATGTATTCACATACATTTGTTAATTTGCATTCTAGGACTATACAATCCTTGCATTATTTTTATAAAACATGGAAGCAAATGATGTTATCTGTTTATTACTTAATTATGCCTATAATTTAAAACAAATCTCCAAAAAGCATTAAAATAACTAAAACACCTCAGACACCAATCATGGTCATTTCTCTGAAACACAAAACATGAAAAAATGGTTTTTGTTTTTCCAGTACTCTGAATTGAAACCAGGGCTTAACATATTCTAGGTAAGCACTCTTCCACTGAGCTAAATCCCCAACCCCCCAAAACTGCTTTGAGTGACTACTCTCTCAGTTCTCTCAAGGATAGTACATAACTAGTACTTCAGACATTTTCTTTTTCTTTCTTTTTTTTTTTTTTTTGATACTGGGGATTGAACTCAGGGGCACTCATCCACTGAGCCACATTTCCAGCCCTATTTTGTATTTTATTTAGAGACAGGGTCTCACTGAGTTGCTTAGCGACTCACCATTGCTGAGGTGGCTTTGAACTCTGATCCTCCTGTCTCAGCCTCCTGACCCACTGGGATTACAGGTGTGTGCCACTGCGCCCAGCCAGACATTTTCTTAAAAATGTAAAAATGATCTGGGGACAGTGGCATATGCTTATTTGCAATCCCTCCAATTAGGAAGGTTGAGGCAGGAAGATCACATGTTCAAGACCAACATGGACAACATAACAATATCCTGGATCAAAATAAAAATTTTAAAAAGGGCTGGGGATGTAGCTCATTGGTAGAGCACTTGCATTCACAAAGTCCTCTGTTCAGTCCCTAGTACTAAAAAAAAAAAGACAAAATTAGCTTGAGGCTTTATTTCATGGAAAACAACATGACAATATTTGTTTTTTTTTGTTTTTTTGTTTTTTTTAATTTTTTTTTAGTTGTAGGTGGATACAATATCTTTATTTTTATTTATTTATTTTTATGTGGTGCTGAGGATTGAACCCAGGACCTCATGAGTGCAAGGCAAGCACTCTACCACTGAGCTACAATCTCAGCCCAACAATATTTGTTGCCAATGATAAAACTTGAGCTTGCAAACAAATATTAAAATTTTTTAAATGTATATCCATATCAGAAGTTTGAGAGCTTCCTAAGACATGAAAAAAAAATCTGATAAGACCAGCAATCATATTAAAGTAACTTTCTTTGGCATTGTATAATAAAACATTTCAACATTTGGAAGATATATATTACTTCCAATGGTCAGTCCTCCTAAATGGTCAATTCATGATATTACAATATTGTACATGGTAGATGACTCATTCAAAGTGAAAGTTAAACCAATGGGTTTTAAGAATTAAAAAAAAAAAAAAATCACTTCTAAGGTTTTAGATTCTGTACTGGAATTAACCTTTAATTTCTTAACTAAACTATTGAGTTTTCATGTAGTCTCAAAGAAGAATACACATAATTATCTGAAAACATTATTAAGGTATCTCTTCTTCTAACTACCTATATGAAGCTAGATTTCCTTCATACAACTCAACCAAAACATCTCAACAGACTGCAGAAGTATGTATGAAAACCTAGCTGCCTTTTATTAAGTCAGTTGTTTTTCTTTGGATTCTCAATAAAGTTTAAGAGTACAAAGGGGTTCTCAGCACCACTGTCTTAGGACTACTATGTAACATCACTGAGAAAGGTCTAAGAGTTTCAGCAGGAAGACATTCACATACAGGCTATAAGCAGGTTTAAGTTTCTGTAACAGGTAAGAGGCTGGATTATAACTTCACAGCATTACTTTTTTTATTAAAACATATTAAATAACATCTGAGTGATATCTGAGCACAAACCCTCTTCTTTCTCACATTTTTTTTTCTTAATCTCGCATCTAAGATTCTTTGTTTGCTAAATTACATCCATTATATTTCTTAGATTCTCACTTCACAGCAAAGTTTGAAGTCCCACCTGTTTTTTCTTAATTGGTCAAATTATATAGTCATCCACCACACCTCCCTCAAAAGGAGGAACTGCTCAATCTTAAAAATCACTAATTTGAGGGACTGGAGTTGTGGCTCAGTGGTAGAGCACTTGCCTGGCCTGTGTGAGGCCTTGGGTTCCATCCTCAGCACCACATATAAACACATAAATAAAATAAAAGACCCATTTACAACTAAAAAAAAAATTTTTTTAAATCACTAATTTGAGTACAAAAGTCCTTTTACAAACTAGCTTTCCACAAAATGGCATTATTTGTCAAGCACTCTAACCCATAAATATTAACATGTTTACATAAAAACATAAAACCAAATAAAATCATTCACACACTATATTATAATGAATTGATTAAAAAATGGATGAACTTCTGAAATGATGTTAATTATACTCCTGGAGAAAAACAGAAGGCTTAAACATTTGGGTTTACATCTATATTTAAATGTAAAACTTCTTTAACCAAATTAGCTAATTACCCATGGCTTTGGGGGACCGGGTGGGTAGGTGTTAAGGAAGTTCATGAAAGAACATGAACTGAACATCTCGCAGCAGTGATTATTTGTAGATTTACCAAGACTTCTTAACAGTGACTTTTCCTTTCCCACCCGAACAGAAAGACAAAACTGGCAGCTTGGAAGCCCAACGGTATAGGACGGTCCGGTCCGGTCTGAAAACTGAACTCTATTAGTAATCAAGGCCCAAGGCATTAGCTTTACCTGGCACTTTTCTCCTAAACCTATTTAACAACAAGGCCGATTTACAGGTGATAAAGTCACCTCGGTTCAAAGTCTAGGGCACATCAGATCAGCAAGCAATGAACCTAAGGGCCCCAGAGCCCGCAAGCGTGGCGCTGGGGTAGGGAAGGCGGGTCGCCCAGGAAGTGGGGGTGGGTGCTGGGCCAGATACTCGAACTGCCACTCTTCACGCGACTCCCCGCTTCCCACCTAATCCAGGGAAGCTGGGTGAGCGGGCCGGGTCGCCAGGCCCCAGGAGAATGAAGCAGACGGCGGTGGGTGAGGATGACAAGTTCAGGGATCAGCGCTTCCCCTCTCGCACTCGGCCGCAGCCTCCGGCGCGCCTCGCCGGACGCGGGGCACCCAGGAAACAGAGCCGGGACCATCCCGAGACCCCCGCCCGCAGGCCTGCCGCCATCCCCTGGCTCCGGCTTCCCGCTAAGCTCCCGCGGATCCCCGGGGACCTGAGGGGAGGGGGCCTTGAAGTCGGTCCTTACCACACTACCCCTCCTACGAGATCCGCCCTTGTCGCAGCCTTGTCCTGGCAAAGTCAGTCCCCTCCACCCGGCAGGACCAACCGTGGCACTAAAATCAGGGCCGGCGCCGCCCCGCCCCCGACCTCCTGGAGGACCTCGGCCCCGCCAACATGGCTGGTGCCGCCTCTGCCACGTCAAGGGGGCGGCGGAGTAGTCAGGGAAGGGGCGGGGCGGAGGGGCGGGGCTAAAAGGCGTCAGTGAGCCAGTACCGAGCAGAAGGGTCCCGGCGACACGGACCTGGGAGCTAAAGGTTAAAATGATGTGCGGCTGGGAACCCGACGAGAAGGGATGAATGGGAGAGGGGACGGGAACGGAGCCTTAGGGGCGGGTCGACCAGAACAACCCTGGCAAGGGAGCAAGGGAGTAGGGCGGGCAAGTAGAGCGCCCTTTCCCTCTCGGGGAGCCGCGGCATGCCCACTCCCTGCAGGTCGCAGGAAGGGTGGATAACTGTACTAGGCACTCCAGACACCTCGGCGACAGAAATGAAGACGTCCTTTAGAGCATCCTCTCCTCTAGGACCTGATTGATTCTGAAAACCAGAAACCACACATCTGGAAAAAAAAAAAGTGAAAAGTTCCTTCTTTACTTGATGCAACAAATATTTACTGAACATCTATGTGCAGCGCACCAGTTGAGATGCTGATAATATGATGTAAGCAAAATAAGCCTAAATCCCTGATCTGGCAGAATTTACACACTATGTATCTCTCTTTTCCTCCTAGTTCTGCCACCTATCTCCACCTACCCCATAGCCTCAAACACACACACACACAATACAATCTTTGGCTGATTATTCTTGATAAGTTTGCTACTTTTTTTTTTCAAAAAAAAAAATGCTGAAAAAAATGAGACAGAAAAGGTTGGGAAAACATTCAATTTGGTGGTCTCAGGCACACCTCATCTTTCCATGAGGGCCTGCTCATGAAATTAGTTCCAGATATGATTACAATAAAATTCTACAAAGCTCAGACCTCTCAGCATTTTATGGACTAGAAAAATAGAAATCAAAGTTCTTTAATTCTTATATTCATGAGAAATAACATCAAACAGAGCTGGATGGGCTGGGGATGTGGCTCAAGCGGTAGTGCACTCACCTGCCATGCGTGCGGCCCGGGTTCGATCCTCAGCACCACATACAAACAAAGATGTTGTGTCCGCCGAAAACTGAAAAATAAATATTAAAAAATTCTCTCTCTCTCTCTCTCTCTCTCTCTCTTTAAAAAAAAACAGATCTTTAAAAAAAAAAAAAAAAAACAGAGTTGGGAATATAACTCAGTAGTAGAATGCTTGCCTAGCAAGTGTGAAGACATGAATTTAATCCCAGTAATAGAGTGAGGGGATAGAACCAAATATAATGTATATGTTAAGAGTGTTTTAGAAAATGGGAAAGGATACATTTGCTTAACAAATTTTAATACAAGCCTAAAAAGGAATGAAATCAAAAGCCAAAATTCAGTTTAAGCCTGCAAATAAAGTGGATTCAGAGTACCAATTTAAGAATGATTCTTGACTGAATACAACATGTAAATAACAATGGGCAATGTCATAAGGTTGAAATAAGGGTGTTCACCCAAAAAAATAAGATCCAAGAATGAAAGGGTAAATAGATATGCATCTGGGTCTACTCAGCCTATTATATCAAAAATCATTAACAGGACACTTCATAAACTACAAAAATTTACTTCTCATAGTCTGGAGGTTGAGAAATCCAAGATCAAAATACAAGATAATGAGGTGTGTGGTGAGGGCCTTCTAGCTATGTCTTCACATGATGGAAGGGGCAAGCTAACTCTCCGAGGTCTCTTTTATTTTTTTTCTGTTACTTTTTTTAATTGATTTTTTAAAAAAATAAATAACAACAGAATGCATTACAATTCTTATTACACATATACAGCACAGTTTTTCATATCTCTGGTTGTATATAAAGTATGTTCACACCAATTCATTTCTTCATACATGTACTTTGGATAATGATGTCCATCACATTCTACTATAATTGCTAACCCCCTGCCCACTCCTTTCCTCTCCCACCCCTCTGCCCTATCTAGAATTTGTCTATTCCTCCTATGCTCCCCCTCCCTACCCCACTATGAATCAGCCATCTTATATCAGAGAAAACATTTGGCATTTGTTTTTGGGGGGGATTGGCTAACTTCACTTAGCATTATCTTCTCCAATACCATCCATTTACCTGCAAATGCCATGATTTTATTCTCTTTCGTTGCTGAGTAATACTCCGTTGTATATATATATATACCACATTTTTTTTTATCCATTCAATGTTTATAGCAGCACAATTCACAATTGCTAGAACTAGCTATTGTGAATTGTGCTGCTATAAACATTGATGTGGCTGTGTCCCTGTAGTATGCTGTTTTTAAGTCCTTTGAGTAGAAACCAAGAAGCAGGATAGCTGGGTCAAGTGGTGGTTCCATTCCCAATTTTCCAAGAAATCTCCATACTGCTTTCCATATTGGTTGCACCAATTTGCAGTCCCACCAACAATGTATGAGTGTGCCTTTTTCTCCACATCCTCACCAACACTTATTGTTGTTTGTCTTCATAAAAGCTGCCATTCTTATTGGAGTAAGATGAAAACTTAGAGTGGTTTTGATTTGCATTTTTCTAATTGCTAGTGATGATGAACATTTTTAAATTTTTTTTAATATCTTTATTTTATTTTTATGTGGTGCTGAGGATCGAACCCAGGACCTTGCACATGCTAGGCAAGCACTCTACCGGTGAGCCACAACCACAGCCCCACATTTTTTCATATATTTGTTGATTGATTGTATATCATCTTCTGAGAAGCGTCTGTTCAAGACCCTTCTTTTAAAAAGTTTTTTTTATAAAGCAAATGCCCTTAAGATCATTACATTCTCAAACTAGCATTTTTCAAAATTAGAGATTAAAAAAAAAGAAAGAAAAAGGGAGAGATTCCATGGTCAAATAAAGTCAGGAAACACCAAGTTAAATTATATGAAATAAGTCTCTTGACTTGTCACAGATTTTAATGTTAATACCCATGAGTCTTCAAATAAGGGATTTAAGTATACTCTCAAAAGATATTTGACCTTCTAACTTTTTGCAGTGATTATCTTGGGACAAGTATTCTAAATACCCTATGAAAGACTTTGTCTTCCACCATTAATTACCCTAAATATTACTACTATGTAACAGCTGGTAGTTTCCTTTCTACTTCAGAACACACAGATTTTTTTCTAAACTGAAAATTCCAGTACTGCTCAGTCAAGTGAAGTATGATAATGTGAATTCCTGGAATTTTGTGTTAACCACCAGATGGAACTTTCACCTCTCCTTTTTGGTTTATTGTTTTCTAATACACATGAAGCACTTGAAGTATTTGTCTAACTTGGATTCTTTTCCATTTGTTTACATGGGGACAGAACAAGGCACTGGCCAATTATTTCTCAAGTATTCACTAGAAAAAAGTGATGCTCATAATCTTCTAATTTTGAAATTTCAGCTTCAAAAGTATGTCAAATATATATTACTATATCCTAACTTCCACCCTGACCCCTGATAATCGTGCCTGAATCTGGCAAGCAGCTAAAGAGCATGCCTACCTCCTCCAGTACTCAAAACCCCTTTACCAATCCCGCAGCATGTGCTGCCATCCCTACAGCTGAACCTAATGGACATACCAATCTCAAGATGCCAGGCTCACTAAAATCCAACACATGACTACTTGCCTCCTTGATGGCATGAGAAAAAAATTCTCATACCCAGGTTAATTATGACAAGATTAGGGAACTCACCCAAGGACCTGATGAAAACCCTGTCCTCTTTTTGGCTCGATTTACTGAAATTATTACCAAATATACCACCCTCTATCTTGATACTCCTGCTGGTGCTCTCTTTCTCCATATCCAATTAATCGGCAGATCTGCACTTGATACCTGTAAAAAAAAAAACTTAGTTAGAAAAGAGTCCCAAGACTCCTCAGCAGCAACTTCTAGATGCTGCTTTCAAGGTCTTTAACAATAGGGAAGATGAGTCCAAAAAGGAGAAAGAAAACCATCTTAAAGCTAAATATCAGCTCTTGGTCTCAGTCATCCATAGTCTAAAAGAGCCCCTGCTGCTTGTGGCCACACCAGATCCTGTTTCTGATATGGGCAGACTGCATACTGGGCAAAAGCCTGTCCTAATTTGAGCTCCCCCCCTCCTCCCGCAATATACCCTATACCAACTATGGGCAATGGGGACACTGGAAAATGGACTGTCCCCAGGGAATGACACTCCTCCGCTCGTGCAGCCTACTTCCCAAGTCTCATGAACTGAGTTACTGGAATGAGGGGACCTGGGCTCCACTGCTCCCAGATTACAGGGATGGTGAACAACCAAGCAGTTTCTTTTGTGGTCAACACTGGGGTATTTCCCTTCTGACTCAATGACATGGACTCACTTTCAAAGCAAAAACCACTATTAAAGGGGATCTCTAGAACTAAAGCTACCCCCCCCCCGCCTTTTGCACATTTGTATCCCTCTCATTATCTCATTCTTTTATAGTCATGCCAAGTTGCCCTGTTCCCCTATTGGGCTGAGATCTCCTCCACAAATCAAAAGTCTCCATCACCATTCCTCCTTTAAGGTCCACTACCATCTTTATAATACATTCTAACCTAGACCTAGTGTCTGCACCCCTTGTGTCTCCTGATTATTCCTTGCTCACTGGGATTAACCCCACCATCTGGCTTACCTCTCAACCCATCCATTGCTAAACACCATTCCCCTGTTCATATCCAACTGAAAGACCCCACATGCTTTATTTTCCAAATTTACCTGCAGCCCTGTCTGGCCTCTGAGGACAAGGATACGTCACATTCCTTCGCTTTGCCCACCTGTTCACTGCTGGAGAAAATGCAGGCCCAAAATATTGTTGATCAGAGGAACCAAATTTCCCTGAAGGAGGAATCTTTTGTGACCAGATAATCCTCATCTGGCGGGGGGGGGGGGGGGGGGGGGGGGGGGGGGAGGGCAGAAAAAAAAAAAAACTGTCTCATTTAATTAGAGTAAAACTACCCACCATCTGTACTAATTCAGAAATTCAAATCATTTATTTTCTCTAGTGGATACATCACCCAGAGCACTAACAGGCTTGCCTCCAACTTCAGATTGAGGAGCAAAAAAGTGAACTATGAAATCATAGTTCATAACATGTAAGAAATTTTAAGGGATAATTGGCTGGCAAACGTCCTCCCTTAAATTAAAATAATTATCAAAAGGTTGATTTGTATACATGTGTGAAGACACAAATAGTATGACTCTACTTTGTGTACAGCCAGAGAAATAAAAATCATGCTCCATTTGTGTACTATGAAATGAAATGCATTCTGCTGTCATACATATCAAATTAGAACAAATAAATAAATTTTTAAAAAGGAAAAGGAAAAAAAAGGTTAATTTGTATCTTCCACGCTGAGTGAGGTTCCAGCCAGAGGTAATGGAAGGAAAAATAGAAATTGCTGATCCCTAGAGGCTCTGGGATTGGGGAGCTGCCCCCTAGCCAAAGAAAAAGTTTCCTCAGCATAGGCACCCATATTTCTGATCTCTTTTTATTTATTAAAAGGGGAACTTCACTGAGCACAGTGGTTCATGCCCGTAATTCCAGTGGCTCTGGAGGATGGGGCAGGAGGATAGAGTTTGAAGCCAGCCTCAGCAATGGCAAAGCACTAAGAAACTCAGTGAGTCTCTATCTCTAAGTAAAACACAAGATAGGGCTGGAGCTGTGACTCAGTGATTGAGTGCCCCTGAGTTCAATCCCTGGTAGCCACCCCCTCCAAAAAAAGGGGAGCCTCATCCTCAAAAGTAATGGGAAATGATGTTTCATAATTTTCTGCATCCAAACCTGGCCTGATTACCAACTGCTGAAAAAATGGTTAAAATGCCCTAGGCATGATGTTTCTGCTCAAAACAGCAATTTACCTCAGCTCCAGCCAGATCTCACCAAGGCTTGCCATGAAATGTAAATGACAGGAGCTTGCAAGCTCAGCAGGGGACCAATCTGAGACGGAAGGAAAAAAAAAAAGAAAAAGAAAAAGTGCTTTCTAAATCCCAACAGCCCCCTTGGGAGATCTAAAACAACTGGCTACAGCACAGGGAGAAAAAAATAATTTCAGGGCTCTCTCTCTCCCTTTCTTTCTTTCTCCTTCTTTCAATACCTGAACTCACACTAGCCTGAGTCAAAAAGTAAACTGTATGATGCTTTATTAAAATAATTAATGGCTATGTCACTTTTTCCTAGGACTCTTTTTTTTTTTAATTCTATATTTTTCAGCTCATGGTTTTATGGTGAAATTCACATTTTGGTCCTGTGTGCCTAGACTAATACGTTTTTATGATCAGTCCTATTTTTATCCAACTATACAGGCTTTTTTTTTTTACTCTGTTTTGTTCAAAGGCCAATTTACAAAGATTAGTTAGCTCTCATCCGTAGCATTGCAATGGAGACCTATCTACAAAAAGCTACAAGGCCTTTTTTTATTTGTTTTGTGTATGTGTGTACCTGTATATTGTTATGTCTACATGTGTTTGTGTCCATGGTAAAATTGGCATTATAGATAAATGAGTGACATAAATTAAAATTTTAAAAATGGATCCAAATGCCTTTAATTCACATGATTTTAAAAGTTCAATTTAAATTGACTAAACAAATGAGAGTAAAGACATTTTTAAATGACTAACTCATACTTTTTCGAGGTGGTCAAACAACTAATAAAATGTTGATATCTAAATCCATTGTTTCTAAGATTTTTCTTTAACAAGGAAGAGATGGTTAATGCTATTCAATACACTTGTTTGATATCTTGGTTTATAAAGTTAAACTAAATTAGGTTTTAATATCTGTGGGTTTAATCTTTGTAAATGTGTTAAGGAGACATCTGGTTAACTTATAAAGTTAAAGTGCTAACTGCTAAATATACAAATACTATTGACTTATTGAATTCAGGGTAATACACTTAAACATTATGCATGTTTTCATGAATTTGTAAATGGAAAAAGGTTTAAGATTGCTATGTCTTGGGCTGGGGATGTGGCTCAAGCGGTAGCGCGCTCGCCTGGCATGCGTGCGGCCCAGGTTCGATCCTCAGCACCACATACCAACAAAGATGTTGTGTCCGCCGAAAACTAGAAAATAAATATTAAAAAAAAAAAAAAGATTGCTATGTCTATGCCTTAACTAAAACAAGGTTACTAAGAGTCACTATTCTATCAGGTATAATTTATATACAAAGAGTGTAAGAGGTTTCATTTGGGTTTTGATTAAAGTAACATAACAACATAAAAGTATTTCATCTTATTAAAGTAAAATATTTTGCCTAAATTCAAAAACTTCATAAGAACTGTGAATTAAGAAAAGTGGTCAATAACTAGGAAAGAGAAAAAGAAGGTCCTAGGTATGGAAATATATTTTAGTAGAAGGAATAAGAAATGTTTCTGGATAAGAATGTCATTCGTGTGGTAAAGTGGAATGTCTAAGTAAGCTGCAGAAAGTTTATGAAGGGTAAATTTCAAAAAGCTTGTGACTAAAGGAGTTATATGTAAGTAGCATAATTAATCACAGCTATTCAAGGCTTTTTCCTAAGGTCAAATATTAAAGCAAATGGTTTTAAAGGAATTGGGATTTATATAAACAACAACTGTTATTTTAGAGTATAATACTACATTACAGAATCTAGATTTTCTTAAAAAAACTAAACTTGGTTAATATAAAAACATCAATGTAATTGTGGTACTATTACTGTCTTCTTTGCATTCTAAGTGTGTTCATATCTTCTAGGTATACAAATATTTTAAAGTAGGTGGTTTAAGCATTTTATGGGACTGAGGTTGTGGCTTGGTGGTAGAGTGCTTGCCTAGCACATATGAGGCACTGGGTTCGATCCTTAACACCACATAAAAATAAATAAAATATTTTCTTTAAAAAAACAGCATTGTGTCAAGCTAGTGTTCTCCAAAATATAAGTTGTCAGTAATGGTAATTTTAGACTTTTAAAATAACAAATTTAATTGGGGAGATTTATTTATATCATTTAATGTTCCATAACTTGATCTGAATTTTATGCTACTTTTACTTTGGGGTAGAAATGTAAATGTATTTCTAAAAGATAATGAGAGCCTGATCTGTTAAAAGGTTAATATGTGAAACATAAAAACATTTTGCCACTTTCTCACAGAAAGAAGTTCAAAGCTTTCTTAGCTTTTGTTTGATTCATGTTTCAGATGTAATGTCATATTATTAGCTAACATTCATATAGATTCAGGAAGCAATATATGTAAACTTTATAAAATGACATTTAAGAAAGAGGCAAAGATCAGCTTCAGAAATATAATATTTTACCTAAGATTCATCAAGAACCCCACCTTGCCTGAGTTAAGATGCCTTTCACCTTACTCATGTTAAGATAATTTCAAAGTAGGCTAGGCTTAAGCCATCTAAAGTCACGTTCAAAGGATAAATTTTTGTTACATTTAAAATTATAAAAAGTTATATTTCTTGATTCAAAGCTATTACACAAACCCAAAATGTTTTCAACTCTTGTAAATTTCATTTTGTGTTTTCTTTGTCCACTTTAAATGTCCTCTGTTACGGTCTTACAGAAGTACAACTTTTAATATAACAACCTAAATTAATTTAAATAATGGGCCATCATCTATAGACAGACAGGATGTAAGGCTAACTTCCATTACTAATATAGACCCCAATTAAATAAAAGGGATAAGTGACTGTAAAGATAAAGACACTAAAGTTAAGACCCAGTACTCTTACTTTAAGACTGGTGAGACTGGCTTGCTGGATGTTTAAGTCAAAGGCTTAAAAATTAAAGTTAAAATAAAAGGGTCAAGAAAACCAATATTTGGTTCTTGCCCTCTGAGTCAGTTTGAACTCAGGGAACACAGGAACTTCTCTAAGAGATATGCAACTCTGGGTCACATGACCTCCGGATCAGGGAGATCACTGGGACCCTGGAAAAAGAAAGCCAATCACTGCACATGTTGCAAAAGAAGAAAGTCATTGGAGAAGAAATACAACACTGATGCTTCCAAAGGAAGCCACATGGTCAGTGAGACCTATCTTGGCAAATGGCACTAATGGACCTAAGAGGCTGCTCACAAGTTCCCCCAAGAAGGACCCCTGAGGGAACTTAGCTGACTCTTAATAACAGATAGGAACATAGTCAATTTGACCAGCTTGGTCTTGAACACTTGGCAAAAATAGTTATAACCAAAGTACAACCATACCTGGGCATATAAAAGAAAAAGTCAATAGTTCTTTTAATAGAATTTAAGATATATATATTTTTTTCAGTCCTACATCCCTGATGCCCCCCAAATTTTAAGGCATTTTTTTTTTCTTTTGTGAGACTCATATTCACCCCTGCCTACCAAAATTGGACTGGTCTCTGTACCTTGGCTTCCCTTACTCTTCAAATTGACATTTTACCTTAGGACCAAAAATTTATCTATCCCAATAATGATGCACACCAGACACAAGGGATCCTTTCACTTTATTCCCTTAGTCACAGGGCTAGAGCTATCCACTGGGATCGGCATAGGAGCAGTGGGATTAGGAACCTCTACTCACTATAAAAATTGTCAGCACAGGTTATTGAAAATCTCCAACAGGTCACCAATTAGGTACTGGCTTTACAAAATACATCTGTCAGATATCCCTGACATCCGTCATCCTGCAGAATCATCTGGGCTAGATCTCCTTACTGCCATATTAGATGGCCTGTGCCCCCTTCTTCAGAGAAGAATGTTGCTTCTATATTAATCAATCAGGACTAGTAAGGGATAAAGTTAAATAACTATAGGACTGATTGGAACCATGGAGGTGAGAACTAGCTGATTCCTAAAATGGTGGACTTCTTGGCTTCTCTCTCTTTTAACCCCTCTAATACTCATTTTTCCTGTAATAACCTTTTTTTCTTCCAT